ATCAAGGCTTCACACATGGCTCGGAGCGGGGCATATTCGGAAACGCCAAGCGACTGTGAGAACTGCCGGCAGTCGAGAGCTGCGTCGATAAGGGAACGATTTGTCCGAAATCCTGAATTATGACCAGATCCGAGCCTGTACGACCTGTAGAATTTTTCCTGTGTAATCGAGGCGATCCAAGCGAGCTTTGAGCGATTGGAGGAGGGAATTCCCTCCTCCGGACCTCCACTCCAAGTTTTGGAAAACTGGGCGAATCGAGGAGACACAGGATTTCTCGAAAAAGATATCGGACGAAGAAGGAACAAGGCGGTGATTCCGAAGGAGAAGTACCGAGAAGACTTCATTGCGGATCGGCGTGTTTTGACCGATCCTGTTCTCTCCTGTTCTTTCTTTATTTTCACGGCGCGTGACGAATCAATGCTCAGCGGACTTCACGGCCGATCCTTCTCGAGCGTCTCGTTCTTCTCCTTTGCAAGCTTTGTTGTGAAGTTCGCCTCGCTCTTCTCGTAGGGGGCTGAGTCACGAAGACCGATTACTCCCGGCCGATTGCTGGGGAAACATTTGGCGAACGACCGCTCTGCGACCCACTCACATACACACCTCAAGTGGATCCATGGCACGAAACTCGTTCCAAGATGGGAAGAAGCAACACTACGCAAGACTGACCGGGCGACATCATACCGTGAGCATTACATCATGGGTTCCGAATAAAACCGGTACACACTCGTCAAAATCCTTCGAGGGCGAGGTGGATCGATAGACGACAAATACTCATCACACTGTGCTCTCCACTGAAAATTGCAATCGAGACCGCTAGACCGGAGACGAAGCGATTTACGACACCTAGATCGGTCCCGGATCGGCGCGAGAAATTGTGCTTGATCCCTGGTGAACGTAGGAGGTGCTACACACTCAGAGACGCACTCTACATTACTTCGCAGGCAACAGAACAGCGTTTCCTTGTTGTCGACGAGCAGCGCTTCGTAGAGCTTCTCATAGCTTTTCATGGCTTCTCGTACATTGCAATTTTTGTGTCAGGTTTGCCAGCTCAAATGGCGTTTTTCTTCCCGATTCAACCTCCGCTCCGTCGACGCCGCTTCGGAAAAGTTACTCCTCTCTCGGAGTTCAGTGTCGATTCTGCTAACGCTCCAACCACCGGGGACGATCGGAACACCGCACCGCAAGGAAGAAACCAAAACTTCGCCATCGGGAGTCGCGCGCTTCGTAGAACGGGTGGAGGGGGCCTCCCCCGAAACAAAATCACGTTTGTTGGAGTTCAAGATGCGCATCACAGGAAGCTCGCTCGGCATCGGGAGCCTGAGCTGTGAGGTCACGGAGATCGGCCGTGAGGACACTACGTTCGAGAACTACGTCAAAATTCTATTTCCCCAACGCCTCCGACCCAACCTACCCCGAGGATGCTTGCGGCCGAGTGGGGAAGAATTCCATTCCTAAACGAAGCATTAGCATCAGCTCGGAGCTCACAGCTCCCCCACCTCTGGGACTGCTGGGCGTCGCACAGATGTGGAGCAGGTCGGAGACAAATTCTGAATTGAACTCGACGAGGGCGTTGATTTTTTAAACAACGAGATTCCCTGCGGGTGTGAATCAGCGAACCCGATTCTCTCCCGCTTGAGCCGATAATCTGAAGTCTGGGCTGATCCCTCGAATAATCCGAAGGATGAATCGCTTTACTCAGCACTGAAGGCAGGAGCGGGATTCACATTGCAGCAGTGAAACGGAGCGACAAGCGTTCGAGGAAGCTGAATTATACGGGACACTATCGGAGCAGGTTGAGGAGCCGTCGGCTGCGGCGTTTCATCATCTCGCGCCTGGAGGGGAATATCCGAAAAATCGATTCAATGCGATGCGTTTCTGTCTCTCCAGTGCTCCGCCGCTTCCGATAGAGTTGTTTCAAGGGAGAAAAACGCGACCCGAAGAGCGACTCCGCAGCAGTGGGTGTTCATTGGTGATGTGGGGTAGGCTGCTCACCGAGAATAAGTAATGAATAGATTGCGGATGATACCATCGATTTTGAAATATTCATCGGCACCGGCTACACTCTTTGGATCGACGACAAGGTTATCACTGGAGCTCTACCTCCGTATCACACTCTCCGCTTCTCCTGACCCGAGCGTTTCTCGCACCGACGGGAAATTTTTCCCAATAGCTCCCCGAACTCATCGTGGAGTTCGAGCGTTTCGCCCAGAGCTGCTCGCATTGTGGGAACTCGGGACATCGCTCATGGGCGAGCCGCCCAATGTATCCGTTCCCCAATGGTAAAAAAAAACTTCTCGTCCAAGATCTCGGCTCTCTCCACCATACGGAGTCCCAGATTGAATCTGTTCCGAGTGATTCTAGCGAATTTGCATCTATGCGCGATCAAGTCACCGAGCTTGTCGAATGCGCAACTCCTCAGGTCGGCTGAATAACTGAGAATCTCATCTTATTGAGCTTTCCAGTAGCTCCGATATCGCGTGATCCATTAGCACCTCGAGCGAACGAGGGCGGACGACGGCTCTGCCTGCCATTTTATAGCCTCCCGCATGTCGGCCCGCTGCTCTGTTCGCTCGTGGAAGAGGTAACAACAGCGGCGGCAAAATGAAGCGCTCGAGCTGGATTCAATAAAAAATCGGAATGGTTCCCGTCGAAATCTCCCAGAGAGAGCTCACCGGTTGCGTCACCGCTCCTCAAAATCCTCGGCCATGGACAGAGACGAATGTCGACCATTTAGCCCCTCACATTCGTAGGACAAAATCCTTGAGGCTACGGAAATTATTTTCCTTATTTCTCTTGCTTTCCTGCTGGTAGCTTAGCCCGCGGCGGTCGCGTGTTGCTTCGTCCCGCATCCCAGTCAGTCAGGTAACCAAACCCTCAGCATGGCGTCGTTGGATGATTGATGCGTTCGCCGAAGACTTCACAAACCCAATTATACGTTAAAATGGCGGACTGACTGAGTGAAAGGCGAAGGTTCCCGTCCTCGTCTCATATCTTGTCTTCGGAACGCGGCCAAGGCGGGATGGCTGACGACTTGGTAGACTTCGTTTGTTACTTAGGATTCATCGAGGGCTACGACCAAGCTGCGGAGTGTCACAGATGTTCCACACCTCGCGCCCATCGAGGAGCTCCTGTCGTCTCACGATGCAAAAACGGTCGGCGGATGGCTTCGCCAGGGCTGCTGCGTGATGCCATCCGAGGAGGCGTCACAGTCTCCACATCCATACACACATACATACATACATACATGAATCCATCCATCCGTACTTTCATTCATTCATCCGGTGGCCCTTATCTTCGGAGTCGTGTGACCTGAAGCTGTTGCCCACCATACGGTTGTGTTACGAGCAGAGAAATCACCAGTCGGATGCTTCGGGGAATGGACTGGGTCGAGAGTTCAGGGTTTCAATCAAGGCTGGCGACTCGACATCATTTCTATCGGTAGCATTTAGAGCGTCCCGAGTCCTCTCATCCGGAGTGTCCCGGTCGTCCTCGAAACACTTCCCTCGGCGAACACCGAGTACGATTGTATGCTGAACGTGGCAACCCTGACAGGCAGTTGGGCTATGCAAGGCAGGGGTGGCAACTCAGCGATAAGATAAGAAAAGGCTAACGAACGATATCGATTGTTTCGAGTGCCCTAGGCTCCGGCACCGGTGACGGCGGCGCGCGCGGCATCGGTCGCAAGAGCCGCAGCTCCAACACTCCAAGCTGCTCCCGCGGGACGGGGGAATATATTCGCTGATCATCATCAATGCCGCCTCCAGGATCATGGGGAAGGAAAAAGTCCGAAATCCATGAGGTGGAACTTGAATTCTCTCCTCCTCGAAGAGAATTTCTACACGAACTAGAACTCGCGAATTGACGGCTGCGGAGCCTTCGTTCGACCGATTCAGACTCACGCAGCCGTCGAACTCTGCCTGATTTCTGAGAGTTATTCAATCATTGTTTTGCCGGGAAGAGAATTTCCCGACGAACGGAAATTCGTTCCGGTAGTCAAACTCACCGCTGGAATTGGAACAAATCTAGGAAAAAAAAAATCGGAACTGAAATAAAATCCGTCGTAGGACTGCTCTGAACGAGGATTTTGAGTCTGACAAAACGAAATGAGGAGTCCTCTTCAAGTTTCATGAATGTTTCACTAAGGATTCTCGAAAGACGACGTGTTGCACGTGCTGTAAGAGGAGAATTCGCTCTGAAGAATACAGACTAAAGGAGACTCTCCTCATTTCTCTGAAATCGGCTCTCCTGCTCCCCCGATGTTTGGCCTCCCCCAGCCGGGAATTTTCTCTCTGAACTAATAGTCTACTCGGTCAGTGACACTTCATTGAACGCATTAGCCGTAATCCATTATTCAATAATGCGGTGCGAGAGACATTCAGGGCCGTATAATGAGCATCGAAGTTCGGAGGGACTGTCGGAAGTTTGGATTTCTCTCGAGTGATAGAACGGAGTCCTTCGGACTTCGAGGAAGTTCCTCTCACTCAAGAAAGTCCTCGCTGTGGAGAATACGAGCAGGAAAGACCATAACTGAGGGTTCTCCGAGGAGAAGTTGTCGGAGAAATCAGGCTTCGAGGCAAGAAGAAAATAAATCACCCCAACTCACGACCATGTCCCCCAGTGAAGGTAATTATTATACGGATAGAGGGAGAAAGGGGCCGGGAGGATGTAATCATAAATAACAGGGGACACTCGTCCCTCACTCCGCCCTGCAATGCCTTCAATAATAACAATAATAATTAAACACGTGGGCTGGCGATTCCCAAAGAAAGAAGGAAGCAAATGTTGCGAATCGTTCACAGCATCTCGGCGAGTTCTCAGCGAGCCGCGACTTGTCAGTCGGTCTGCCTCGGAGCTGTGTGGGGACCAGTGCGGCTTGCCATTAGCCGATGATCCGAGCGCGAGCCAAGCGCCCTCTGGCCTCCCTTGCGCTCCCCCGACCACTGGCTCCAACACCGAGTCAGTCAAAACACTTCCGAGCCGCCAGACCGCGCTCACTTGCCATGGCAGCGAACACGACGCTGGTGGTGGCAGTTGCCATTCTTTTGGCAATCGCGGTCTACCTCAATACCGTTCCGGCAGACTTCGCCTACGATGACAACCGAGCCATCGTGGGCAACCAGGACGTCCGACCCACGGAACCTCTCCTCAATTTGTTCAGGAACGATTTCTGGGGAACGCCGATATCGCATTCCGGCTCCCACAAGTCGTACCGGCCTCTGTGCATTCTCTCGTTCAGGTTGAACTATCTGATCAGTGGTTTAGATCCTCGGAGTTACCATCTTCTCAACGTGCTTCTGCATGCGGTTGTGGCTGCGTTGTTCGCGTGGCTCGCCGGGACCTTGTTCGACTGGGAGGAGGTTCCAACTTTTCTGGCCAGCATAATGTTCTCCCTACATCCAGTGCATACCGAGGCGGTCGCCGGTGTGGTTGGTCGTGCCGACGTCGGTGCTTGTGCGTTTTTCCTCTTGGCTCTGGTTGCCTACATGAAATACTGCGAAAGCCGCGCCGGTGAGAGCATCGAATCGAAACTCCACAAGAAAACATATCTTCGAACAACTTCGTGTCTCGCGCTGGCCAGCATGCTCACGAAAGAGCACGGTATCACCGTACTGGCGGTCTGTGCGGTCTACGACCTGTTCGTCACCCAACGATGCAGTGTCATGGATATCGTGAGCATGCTACGGAACAAGCCCGCGAAAAAACGCATTCAGACCGAAGGCCTGAAAAGTTTGGCGTGCACGACGTGCGCGCTCGTGTTGATTCGTTTATACGTGATGGGATTCACGAAGCCCTCGTTCTCGAGCTCTGACAACCCGATCGCCAGCGACAAATCTCTTCTCACGAGAACTCTGACGTTTCTCTATCTGCCCGTGGTCAATCTCCAGCTTTTGTGCTACCCGAAATGGCTGAGTTTCGACTGGTCGATGAACTCCATACCGCTGATACGCTCAATCGAGGATTCCCGTAACTTGCTGACCTTGTTCCTTTACTCCGTGCTCTATTTCATCGGAAGCCGGATTTGTCGTGCTCTCAACAACCGTGCGGATATAACTTGCAACATCAACAACAACGACGAGCCCTGTCAGTGTGAGACGAATACGAGGATCGACGCCGGTGTTCTCGGCATGGCCATGCTGATCCTGCCGTACCTGCCGGCATCGAATCTAATTTTCTACGTGGGTTTCGTCGTAGCTGAACGAGTGCTCTACATACCCTCGATGGGCTACTGCATTCTCATCGCCATAGGAGCGGATTACCTCCTGAAAAACATGCCGAGCGTCAAATATATTTGGATGACGACGCTGGCGTTGCTCGTTGTGAGCTACATGGCACGGACCGTGCAGCGGAACGAAGACTGGCTCACGGAAGAAAGTCTCTACAAGTCCGGCATCGCTGTCAATCCGCCAAAATCTTACGGCAACCTCGGAAACGTCTTGAGTCAAGCGGGCCGGAAGAGTGAAGCGGAACAGGCCTACAGGAAGGCCGTGCAACACCGGCCGAACATGGCTGACGTGCATTATAATCTCGGTTTGTTGATGCACGAACAGGGTCGCTACGACGAAGCGCTTGAAAGTTACCAGACCGCCGTGCGATATCGGCCTACGCTGGCCTTGGCGCACCTGAACATCGGTTTGATCCTCGTCATCTTGGGTAGGAAACAGGAGGCCGAGACGGTGTTCAAGCACACGGCCTCGATCGATGGCACGGGACTCAAAGATCCCAAGCTGCACGAAGTCACCAAAACCTCGGCGCTCTACAATTTGGGCAAACTGTACACAGATGCGGGAAAGCATCATCTCGCTCTGAAAGTGTTCGAGAAAGCTGTGACCACGATGCCCCGCTCCTATCAGCCTCAGTCCCTGTACAACATGATCGGGGAGACTTACGCCCGCATGGAGAACTTCACCGCCGCCGAAAAATGGTATCTCGAAGCGCTCAACGTCAAGCCCGACCATGTGCCCGCAATCTTGACCTATGCGAAGCTGCTGAGCAAAGTCAATAAATCCGCTCAGGCAGAGAGTTTATTCAAAAGAGCGATCGAGCTGCGGCCTGGAGACGTCGACTCCTTCCGGCACTACGGACAGTTTCTGCAGGACGCGAAACGACCTCAGGATGCCGCCAAAATAATTTCGAAAGCCGCTCGACTCATGCCGTACGATTTTGACACGGTTTTCGCGGCGGCTAGCGCCCTCCGTGAGGCGAAACGCAACGAAGAGGCGGAGTCTTTCTACAGGAAGGCGGTTCGCTTACGTCCTCGGGAGGCCGCCGCTCACATGAATCTTGGCGCAATGCTTCACGTCAACGGCAAATTGCACGAGGCTGAACAATCATATCTCGAAGCGCTTCGTTTGAAACCATCTGATGCTCAGACGGAAGCAAACCTAGCCAAACTGAGACAGTTGCTCAACAAGCAGACCGTGAGATGATAATCATGACGAAGATCGTCTCTAGGAAACATATCGTCTGCGAGATTGTAAAGCTTCCCGTGATACATAGCTAGTCCGAATGGAATTTATCGACGCGAGGAGAGCATTTGGGCTCGACGAGCTCGGCACTCTCGAAAATCGTTTGTGCAAAGAATGTATATTCAAGTCCTGTAAATAAATTTACTAAGATGAACTGCGATCCTCACGGACTTTTCCCTCACCTCTCCCTCCCTTGGGCTCCACGAAGACGAACGAACTCGGGTGAATCCGATGATTTTCAGGTGGTACGAAAGCTAGGGAAGAAGCCGATTTTCGAATGAGATTCAATTTGTGACGTGGGTGACGCCTGAGGAGGGATTCTTCTGTGGTCATCGAGGCCCTTCCCGAATGCCTACTTCACGCTTCGGAAAGACCTGTGCACACTCAGTTATCATCCCTTTTTCGATTCGCTCCGTATTTCGCAGACTGGACTCTAGACGCCTCAACCTGGGCGAGTCAGTCTGAGTTCAGGGGAGCTTTTTCCCTCAGGCTTAACTACCGCCTCAAAATCGCAAATACGTGCACCTCGGGAACATTTCACGTCAAGGGAAATTTGAGTGGAAGTTCGAAAGAGTCGTGGCACTCCGAACGCATCCAAATCTAGACTCGTCTTTCTGCCCGTCACTGGGATCCATGGAAGTTATCCGCATGCCTCTCAAAAGGTATGTGGTCCCCGCCCCGATCCGAACCCGGATAATGGAGGAAAGCGCTTCTGTAATCGAAGATGTGATGAGATGGTTTTTCACATAATTCCCGGACTCGAGTCCGGATGAGTAGAGTGATTCGATCGACTTTCAGAGAGGGGGAAATTTCTATTCCAACCGAGAAGCATTCTCGGACAGATGGCTCCCTCTGCGGGTCGACGGGCGCAACACCTGCGGCCCTGGTATCAACTGGCCGAGATGGGCTTTCCGTGGGCCCGCACTGATCCTGACGCTCGCGATTGGAACGCGAATGAAGTACCAAGATTACCGAGCACAAGCGATCAGATCCTTCCTGTCGAAAACTTACTCTGGGGAGGTTCCCGATTTTCATGAACATCGATTCGCTTTCTTTTTAAACCGTCTGAAACTTCCTTGCTGCCAAGCCTCGTCCGAACTTCGTTGAACGTCCTCGCGGACAGAAGTGGATATTTTTTCGGTCACGAATTACTCTCTTCGATTATGAGCGTTGATCAGAGGCGAAATCCGTAAACCGACCTTTAGACCACCCAGCCTCGCCACCGCATTTACATCAGCTGATTATCCCCATCACTCCTAATGCCAAGTATATAGAAGGATATCAGAGGATGCTGACTCATCTTCAACGGTCTGCATAGAGCTGACGACGACTTCATGTGCATCAGCCCGTGAGCAAGTTCGCTACGTTCCGCGGCGCCAGCGTTTCCTCACTTCTCGCAATCGGGCAGCTCCGGACTGTTTCTGAATTTCGAGACACGCTCGAAGCCACGAATATTAGGTAGTATTGGTGACCCGAGTCTCCCATTGTAGACGGTAACCGATATCCGATTCGTCATCTTAAGCGGAGGATCGCGGACGACAGCCCGTCATCCTCAAGCAGCTGATCTGTGGTGACGCAGCCTTGTTCGTGACGTCAACTTTCCTTCTTTCCCGTTTGTTGTTGCTCAGCTCGCTGTTCGGCATTTCTGCATTTGTGTAGCGGCGATCCTCGAGAGTTCCATGTTGAAGCCGAGGTACATCCCGTGAAGCGCATCACGATTAGAACTCGGAGTCCGTAGGAGGAGAACCGGTTAAGGAGGTGCACTTGGGACGCTCAATCTCAGAGCACGGATCGGTCAAGTCTCCCATCGATGGCTCTGCCACCAAATCAGGTTAGTGGGTGGGCTGCGTAGAGTGAAACGTAGCTTTGCACTGAGGCTGTCTCGGACGAAATTCGTGCGAATGAGTAGGGGCTTCCCAAGATGGAAAAGCGGCGGAGTTTTCACTCTGAAAGTACATGATTCGATGGAGACATCGCTGAATGACGAATGACAAAGTCGTGTCGTATCGACCACTTCCCTCGATGATTTCAATGTCGTGATCTCGTGCTTTTCTGAATCATTCAATTCCCTCCAGCCCGGTTTCGCACCGTTGTACCCGAACCTCAACGATTTATATAACAACAATAGAGGTGGGTTCTCCTCCTGATTTTTCTCGTGAATTAACCTCCTTCCATGATATTCCCTAATATGACTGCGCCTTTCGCTGGCTAAATATGGAATGAAGTGCATCGAGTTCATCAAATTTCAAGGCGGAGCTTCACAGCCGGGACATCCAGCTTCAGCCCCTTACGCAGCACCTTCGGCTCCGCCGGCACCCCCCTATCCAACATCGCAGACTCCGTATCCGGATTCCAACATGCCGTATCCTGGACAGACACAACCTTATCCGCCATCACAGTCCGGTTACATGCCGCCAGGTCCTCCGCCTCCGTATCCCGGTTATCCGGATCCTGCTCATAACACACCTTACAACCAACCCCCTGCACCGGCGGGATACCCAGCTCAGCCTGGTTATGTTCCACCTCAGCCGCCGCCGGGGTATGCAGCGCAGCCAGGATATCCCGGGCAGCCAGGGGTACCTCCACCCGGACCCCACAAATCTAAAGGCGTGCTAGGGGACATCGGGACGGCACTCTCCGCCGGAGGAGTTGGAGCCGCCATCGGAAGTGCCACATCGGGTCTTTTCGGGAAGAAGCACAAGAAGGTAACGACTACGTGCAGCTTACTAGCATCGCACCGGACTGAATATCTCTGATGCGCATTAATATCTCATATGTCTGGTCCAATATTTTCCCGAAATCTATTGTGAGATCCCTCTCTATTCGATCGATCGAGACTAGTGCCCTTCTCATCGATGCCGATTCCTCCTTCAGATCCACGGACACCAAGGTTCCGGTTCAGGAATCGGAGCAGGTACTCTCGGAACAGCTCTGGGAATCGGGGCGGGGGCCCTGGCCGCGGGAGCCCTTATCAAGCACGTGAATCCCGTAGGTTGCTTTTGAAATTGACGAGATGGATCGTCAGCTTCCCTCCTGCACGCTTCTGCTCCCATTTGCACGCTCCGCACTTCTGTGTGTCCATGTATTGTCGTTGAGCATCCTGACCCTGGAGAATGAAAGTTTATCTCAGATATCCTAACAAGAGACGCTGTGAATGCAATCTTGATTTCAGTTTAAGAAAGTCTCCAAGATCTTCGACTACTCTAGCTCCTCAGACAGCGATTAAAGAAACGTCATTAGTACATCGATGTTGGCATAGCTCATTGGCATGGCATTGTTCTGCTCGGACGACAGAAACCTAACTTGAGTCGTGACATCTACACGCACAGTCAGAAGAATCCTCTCACATGGGCGCTGTCTCCATTCTCCGCAGTTGAAAAAAATGAAGAAATTCAGAAAACACTCCCGCCATCGCTCTTCAAGTTCAAGCAGCTCCTCGAGTTCGTCAAGCAGCTCATCGTCCAGTAGCTGAAGTGCGTCCTGAACGGAAGTTCCCCGCGGTGCGCGCTATGAACGCGAGTCCGGAACGTACGACATTTCCCGCAGTATAATTAAGATCGATCAGGATTTTTGTACATAATTGCCATGATTCCCGTCAATAAAAACGAGTGTACTTGAAGCGGTCTCCGCAAAACTTTTCCACACCGGGCTCGAGCTCCACTAGCTCGGGAGATCCCTCGGGAGGGCGGACGACTATTCGTGTATACTTGTAGCACCTCGCAGCGACAAGGAGCGGGTTTCCCATCACCGGATTGACCGGTTCGCGAGTCGAGGAGCGGCAATAATAAAATCATGGCGTGTACGGGAGCCCCTCGACTCGAAGATCGGAGCATCCCCCCCCCCATCCATACCGCACCCTCAATTCCAAGGTTCTGGCTAGCGAATCTCCGATGCTTCTTTCGCGCCGAGTCGGCGGGAGATCCTGCATTTTCATCCTCGACTATGATTCCTCGTTTCTGACTGGATCCGCGATGGGCGTCGGGCGGTGGCGGTGCCACGGCGCTAGCGAGACCACTTGGCTCGGGAGCCGCAAGGTCGTTACTTCGGAACCACGGTTTCAGATTGTGTTGGCGACGCGGTACCACCCTGAAGCCGCTCCAAGTAAGCAACATCGTTCGGTGAGAGGGACGGCATTCCGGGAGACGCGTCTCGCTCGTGCTCGATTGCAATCTTAAACGCGACCCAGCGGGAGATCCAAGCATTCGCAATTCGAGTCCGTCTGTAGGGATTCGATCACCTGCGAAAAGGATGCTCCGTCGGGGCCGATTGAAATGCTTCAAGCGATTCATCATAGAAGATCTTTTCTTCCCCGAGTTTGACAAGCTTGCCATTCAAGGGCTCGGAAGTTCCGTGAATTACAATTTCCGAGAGTGATCGATTGAGTGACTGACGAATCATCGAGGAGAACTCTGCCATGCGCCTCGCCTCCACGCGGCTGAGGCGGCCACACCGATTCGTCGGAGGTCGAGCGGAAATAGCGATCAATGTTGCTGCAGACCTTGACGAAGCACGCTAGCCATGGCAGGACCTACCGAGAATACTCCTTCCCGGGGGCATATCTCCCAAAGCATGGGTACCCCGACCGATAAACGGCAGTAGCTTTGTGTAGTGATGAAGGCTAAACTTTCGGAAAAGCCGAGCGGAACTCCAGAGCGAGGCGCGACAATAATAATATATTGTAGAGAAGACACTTGCATCACGTCTCAGAGATGATTATTGGCATCCTAACGTGGGTCATACAATTGACTGCGAACACTGATCGGGGAAAAGCTTGTTTGAGGAGATTCAGCAGCATTACATTTCTCATGATGACAGTAATACTCATTATGTACATAAAACTTGGTAACCCGCGCGGCAACCACTGCTCCGGTCGTCACTCGAGCCGGCGGCGCTCTCGGATGAAAATAAAGCTTTTATGACAGGGAGTCGATTGAACAATTAATTTCGGTTCGGTTGCGGTGACCGCCGCTCTCATTTATACCCATCAATAAGGCCAACAGAAACTTGATTCCTCGATGGTTGACGGGATGGAAACAGCCGAGGAAGATGATGCGGCACAGCTGACCGGGGATGATATCTCTTCGTTTTCGCCATCAGTGGGAGCTCGAATCGGACAGTGCGAATGTAGGCAGGGAGGCGGATTTGGATTAACCTGACTTGAACAGGAGGATGGCCACCTGGCCGAGATAGAAGTAGATGAAGTGCTTCGTTTCATGGGTTACGTAGCTTCCAAAGTTGCGGCCGACAATGCAATGCCAAGTTGGCGAGTATTTCTTGTCGAACTCCTTCTTGATGAAGGCCGCGATGTCCTATGGAGGAGGGAATTCGAACGTTTGAGTTCAAAGTTTCAGTTTGTGTACCCGCGTGTAGCTCGGGTCAGACCCTCAATCTCATGATTCCTTGATCAGACTCATGACTTATGACTGACATTCGTCAGGACTTTCTCGAGACTCGATTCGATATCGCATCGGATATTGATCGCAGGAATGATGCAATCGAACTGTCGTGGGCGCTCATGTTCCGATCCCGACAAACAATGTGGAACAAACCTTCTCGATATTGTATTTCTCTAGGGCTTGCGTAGCAATGTCCACGGCGTCTTGTTGCATTTCTTCCGACATATCGGCATTCTTGATAACAGCCTTGCGGTCCGACATCTTGAGTCAACGATGCGGGTTCTGTAAACTGGATTGAACAATTTCTTACTAGACTATCGAGACATGGATGTTGAGTGGAGCGCCTCGCTTATCTCCTCGCGATTCGGAATTCAGAGCAACATTGAGCGACATCGAGTATCGGTGGGGCAGCCAGGGAGGATTGGCGCCGAACGACTCCGCGATTAGGAACTCCGCGATGGTGGGTACAGATCCTAGGATACGATCGGCATGATATTCTCCGCGAGTCAACCAATGAGCAAAAAGAGTTTTTCTCTTCCGGCGCCCGAACGGCGCCTGTCGAAAGCAATATTTCCGAACAGTCGAGAAGCTCAACTCGATTGCGTACAAGGCTCTCCCGTTCAAGGTTCTCGCTGGAGGGACGAGGTGAATCCGACAGAAATGCTCGGCTTCCGCGCTTATCGAGCGTGGTTTCAGCTCTTCATGATGTATCATCATAATTCCAATGAATTAATAATCCTTGTTTCAAGCAGCACTACTGTAAAAGCGAATCGGATCGCCGACAACAGGCATGGTTGACGCCAGTCACGAAGCACACCTGAGCTCAGACCTATGTCGAGGAGCAGAACGATCACGGTTCCCCGAGATGAAAGCCCCGACGGATGGAATAGATTACGTTCGGGGATTATTGGACGGCATAGCGCAACGTGCTCCAGCTTGTCAAGTCATAGAACTCCAAAGGGACCGGACATCTCTTCTCGATATATAACTACCATTGAAGGTAAATAAATACCGAACAGGGAGATGTTTTGTGCTCGACGAACCCATATTTACTGACAATTGACACTGCCCGGATTTTCTGCAGGGGATCAGCTATTTTCCAAACCACTGACTCGCAATCTCAACACCGGCTCTCTCGAAGACGCAACCGATGCCGCATCCCGACTTGTCCTCGGCATCGAACTTACCTCAATCCTGAAGATCAAAGGTTCTGGCAGAAACAAAGGTCCTCAGTTGTAGTCGATTCCTCAATGAATGAACAACCAAGACGACTTCAACCGCCAACCGAGCAGCCAGCCAGCGAGCCCTCGTCAGATCCAGCAGCGTTTAAGGAAAAAGCGGCGATTGGTCGGCTCGAGGCGCAGCGCGTCGCATCGATTCGTCGAGCGGAGACTTCTAACCCGACTTCCAACAGGCCCCGCCTAGGTACAAATAATAGGACCCGATTATTGGTTGCCCGAGCGGCGCCAAAACTCAAATAATTGCGCGGGCCGGCTTCTGCGCGTAGTGCACACACGACGACGATAAAAGCGTGGGTCCGTTGCCGTTATCAAGGACTTCGATGGTCTACCGTCGATTCCTGGTGTCGGTGGATTCTGGGAGTAGCTCTTGTTGGATTTCGCGCGTCGCGAATCCGTATATGTCATATGTCCTCTGGAACGTCAGAGCGGAATTTCGTTGCAGTTGGAAATGGCTTCGGAGTGAGAGACAAATTCTTCAAAATCCATAACCTAATTCAGAGCAAATGTCGCCACGATGATTGAGTTGTAGTCAAGTCGCGTATCATCGGATCCACTACCGGGGAGCGTCAGACTGACTCGAGCCGAAATTCCAGAGATCGAATCGTGAATTAACGGGCTTCTTCTGTATTCGGAATGTGCGTAAGTGTGCGCGGCTACGTGGATGATGATGGTGGTGGCGGTTGTAGCGTGATGCCCACACGAGAGTTCGTGACGAGACTGTCAGGGTGGTCGTCATCGTTGTAGCGGCGGCACGGCGAACCCGGCCGAGTGATCTCTCTGATCATATCACTCACGGCGGGGAGCAGGCTTGCTCGGCGGAAGCTATGACTGTCTTCCAGGGAGCCGTGATGAAATCGCGAATCGCCAATTGCGAAGTTAGAAGCTTACGGAATGAGAGCGATATCGGCCTCGTTATGGTTTGGAAAACATTTGGTACGCAAAATACGGCCATGGAAAGGCAGGCCGAGGTGGGGGCTTCGAGTCGGAGTCTGCGGTAATCTTCACGGTCGGACGTGAATGGAACTCGGGGAGAGGTCCGGGGGAGAGCAAATCGAGAGGACCTTGAAAACCATGAGCTTCACATCCCCCCGAAGAGTGACAGCGTCGAAAACTTGTGAGGGGCTATGGGATGCGCCGTGGATGGCATCGACACGCCGATATAGCCTAGAGCATTGTGCAAGACCGTAGCTTGATTCCGGAATTTGTACAGCATTTTCCCTCGATAATTACGGGCGATGATCGAGAGCGGGCTCATGTCGGGAAAAGACCGCGTTTTATCCCTCAGGGGGTCATTGATGCTGAGGGCGCGTCGACGAGACTGCGGTACGAATGTTCAACCAAGACATCACCGCGCACGCCTGTCTAGGACTCATGAGGGTTTTGCCACTTTTTCCCTTTCGACTTTGAGCATAACCGTCTACGGCGTAGGTGGGCGTCCATTCTCACAAGAGCACCCATCGGTGCGAAACTCGATCCTTAGTTTACTGGGATTCACAGATCATAACTAGAGTATATTCTGCTCGAGTTCCTCCGAATCAGATCCCGCAATCCCACCGAATGAAGGGCGCCAAACCACCGTTATGGTTTTGGGTGGAGTCGAATGGCAGCGAGGAGTAGTTGCGCGAGCCGCTGGTAAATGAGAGGATACGTCGAAGCCCTTTAAGGTTTCCAGTCCTGGTTGCGAAAAGCTCCTCTCGAACCCAAATGAGGACGCTGCGCCGATATTTCTCTAATCGGCATATTCGCCCGTAATCTTTGGAGCAAGATGATGGCTCGGAGGAAAATCAAGCTTTCGAAGTTGGCGCGTGAGCTCGAGTCAGCACCTGACACTAAAGCGCGGATGGACGGCGGATATACTGACGGAACTTTGTTTACCAAATATCTGGCTCGCATGGTGGTGCGCGAGATCTCAATTTGAGACTACCGACTCGGAAACGGGTCGTTGACGGGATGCTCCGATGTGTACAGACGAAAATTCCCGCGTTCACTCGAGGGCTTCGCGGTGCTCTGCCCGAGGTCGCCAAGACTCTCGACGAACGTCTAGCCGGTGAGTCTCACAAAGTCTCAAACCTCCCTCGCTCTTCCGAGACTCGACGTTCCACGATTTATCCACCGGTTGATGGGTCTTCCTTCTTGAAATCGAGGAGGAGATCACCTGTGATCGCTTCGTCGGGCCAATGAATTCCCATGTGATTCATGAATTTCTCGGATCGCTCCGGCTCGGAGGTAAACGATGCGCGACTCTGCTATGGGCACTCTGAATATAATTCATTTCAGCGTTGCACGAAACTGACTCCGAGGTCGACGCTCGTGTGAACATAGGCTACAGCAAGTCTCTCGGCCGAAAACAGCGAGAAGCGCTCGAAAAAGAGAGGAGAGCAGAGTTGAAGACAATTCAGAGAAACAACAAACTCCGAGACCTCTGCAGTACCGGCGATTGTGAGTCTGATGAAGTCTTCACCCTCATACGAGCATGTGGTCACTTCCCCCGTTGCTGATTTTCCAAACATGATTTCTCATGACCCTGCATCCTTCGCCGCTCACGCTTCGATTGCCCGAAATTCCGCAGTTAAGATCGACTTGGATCTTGTGAAGACATCGTGGAGAGAGACGGATTTCGGCCAACATGTCCTTCTTAGCGCTGATCATTACAACATCGTCCGAGATCTCTTCGACTTTGGTTACTTCCTACCAGCTGTCCACCTGAAGGCAAGAGTTGGGAAGCTCCACAGGAGGAGAGCGTCTCGCTCCGTAATTCATGATTGCATCGGGACTCCACGTCATACCAAAGAACTAATGTTGTATGTACTCCAGGTCGATTTCCCTCTGTCGAATGATGAATGCTCGCCCGTCCACTACGGAAACATAATCTCTTGCGCGGACTCGGCCAGCGTCCCCGACGTGACCTACCCGGCGGATCCGGGGCACCTTTTCACGCTGGTGATGACGTCTCTAGACTCTCACCTCGAGTCGACAGAGAGCGAATATCTCCATTGGATGGTGTGAGTGTCAGAAGGAATGCTCGATCGACTTCGGAGTACCCCGGGGGCTCCTACGTTTCCCCAATCTCTTATTCGAACTAATTTCGCATGAGGTCCCAAAATGCCTCGCATTGATCCCCGTGCTCGTTTGGCATAAGCTCATACCGCGTTTGCAGCGGAAACATACCTGGGAACGATATTTCGAAAGGAACGACTCTCTGCGAGTACATGAGACCCTTCGTGCCTAAGGGAAGCGGATACCATCGTTTCGCATTCCTACTGTTCAGACAGGAGAAAGAAATTGAGTTCAGCAAGCATCGGGAGACCATCAAGGGGTGAGTACCACACCTGAAACTCCTACCGATCGCGAGCTTGAACCGATAGAGTCGAGCGTCATTCATGTGACCGTCAACGCATTTTCAGGACGTGTTTACGAAAACGAACTTTCCGGACGATTGATTTCTATCGAGGTTTGGAGGACGAAATCACGCCGTGCGGTCTGTCCTTCTTCCAGAGCGACTGGGACGATTGTCTCGTCGATTTCTTCCACAATGAGCTCGGTGAGCCTACGTTCGAATAAGAAACCATCCCGGATGTTTGAGTCAGTCCTCGTCTCGGGGGGTTCCGAAATCCTGCAAGGGACTTCAGAAGACATCAAATGCTGGGATGGGACCCAATGACACTCCAAGTTGGCTCTGAATCGTTTTAACATGAAAATGATGACGCATAAGCTCCAAATGATCGAATTGCACTCCCTCAGGCATCAAGATTCCGGTATTCGAGCACGTTCCTCTGGAACCCGTCGAGGAGAAGTTCAAGAAATACCCTGAGAACGAGTCGTTTAATGAGTACATCGACAAGTTCCGAGATCCGAAAGAGATCGCGGAGGATATCTACTGCCGAAGGCTGAAAAAACTCGATCCGTTCAAGGTGAATAACTGCCACGATCAAAGACCATCGACAGCCTGATGTCCTCGGAAGTAAAACGGTTGTTTTTCTTCAGGAGGAAGTACCTGAGACGAAGTACCCTCACGCTCACCCAATGTCGCTGAAGCTCGCGTCCTGGATCAGAGCTGAGCAGACTCAAGAACGGGAGCGAGTCGGTAAATTCAAACACATGAAACGGTTCTCGTTGCATCCGGAAGGATACAAGCAGCCGTACAAGAAGGTCCGCGTAAAGGTGTACGATCTCTAGATGGACTCGTGTCGTTAGATAGTGACCACTTACGCTGTCGGCACAAAAATCCCGAGATAGTTGATATGAATAAAGCGCGTGTACTCGAATTCCATATGGGAAGTCATTCCTCTGTCGGAGGTTGACAACTCCATCTTGACTCTACTCACAACTCTCTCCGACGTATTTACGAAAAGCCTCGCCTCTACCTATCGATGCTCGCCCTTCTGTCGGTGGAACTGTACACAACCCACAAGTTTTCCCCGTTCCGCGAGCTCAATCAAGAGAATATAACATGCAGTCATGCGCCTCGGGTGCATCGGGGCGTCATTCTGTTGCGCTGAAACATCTACAGTCATTTTTACTTGTCAATTTTAAGAGATCAAGGAATTCCGGAGTCAAAGGTGTTCCAGGTCAGGCAAGCTTGGCGATAGAGATTTCCGCCGAGCTCCACTGGCTCGTTCGTGTTCGAAAACCAATCCAGTCCAGGAGCATTAGCTGGAAGCTTCAAATAAATGTAGGTTGGCCGGTGGCGGGCGAGTCCGTTTCGGGTCACTTGCGACGGTTGAACGGTCACTCCTGAGAGGAGGACACGGTTAGCGGGGAAGCGAAACCCTCGAGCTCACTCCTGTCACGTAGACCAGATTTGGCCCGGCTACCGGTCTTCCCGACGATTCCGTCGACTAAATCGTCACGATCTTCCTCCGCTTCGAGAGGTTCTCTTCATATAGGTTCATCAGTTCCATTGGAATTTCGGGAGCCTCTGCGCTCACGGCGGGTCGCGCATCGTGAAGAGGAGATTCGAGAGTGATATGGGGCGCCGTTTCCGCGCACTGGCCGGTTTCGAAGTCCAGAAGGTGGTAAGAGACCGGCTCCGCGCTCGCTCGGAAAGCGTAACAGCAGGTTCCGTCGTTTAGTGACACTAAGTACCTGTCCCTACAGTGGCGCTCTCGAAGAAGACGTGAGCTGCTCGAAGCGTCCGAGTTGTCGAAAGCAGTGGAGCTCCGGTGGGATTCTCTGTGATGGGAACTTAGTGGCATTCTGGACTTCCGCCATTCGGGGAGGTGAGTGTTCTCCGATTCCTTTTAATGAGTTCCCGAGTTATCGAAGGAAGCTCTCCATAGTGTCCCTGCTGGGAAAAGATCAGGTCGTCACAGCTCTATGAGTCAGACGGGGTCTGTATCAACACTTGGGATACCCTAGTATTGCTCGATTCCATGGAAAGCCCTTCCTTGGAGAATAAGAATGAATCACTTTGAGAATGGCTCCGGGGACCCAAAGTTTTGCGCAATCGACAAAGAAAGGTCACGTTGGACCATATGATCTTAAGCGCAGAGCTATGCGGAGCTGCAGCGCCTCTGCAACCTTGTCTGCCGTTTCTCGGCTTCTGAGACTCTCGCTACGGATATTCGCGATTACCCGTTGGGCTTGTTGGACAGCGTCGACGAACGTAGCTCGTTCAATCGGGAATTCCCAATGAGCGCACGAGTTCGACCGACCGCATTCAATGGGGCCGGCTATCAAGCTCAAGGTTAACGTGATTTTCTAATCGATTCGAACCTTCTTTGATATTTACTCGACTGACCAAGAGCGGAACAAGGATGCAAGGTCCTCCAGGCGCAAGTCATTGACGTATTCGCGACATTCTCCTCTGTCGCTCCTGAGATCCACGGTCTCAGTCAAGATTTGATGTGAATTAAATTATCCTGAGTATCCCTGTTGACGAGAACTAATCGATTTCGGAATTTACTCTCGCAGATGCTCGTGAACACCACGACGCCGGCGCCGATGCCACCGGTGGGGCTTTCTACAGCGGGGACCTTCGCAGAAATATACGAGAAGCTCCTACCGGTACTCCTGCAATGTTTCGTCATCGTGGCGTTAGGCTACATTTCGGGTCGGACACGGCTGATTCCCCAATCGGACACCAAAGGACTCCAACTGGTCGTCTCCTATTTCTTCCTACCGGCGTTAGTGTTCCGATCATTGGTGACGATCGATTTCTACACGGTTAACTACAGATTCTTGGCGTCGATCCTCATCGGAAAGCTGGTCATATTCGGACTGGCCGCCATTCTCACATGGCTCCTGAAGAGGAAGGACCGGGTTGCGTTCGCCGGTCTGTTCGGCATATTCTGCAGCATGTCGAACGATTTCGCGTTGGGATACCCTTTAGTCAGCTACCTGTACGAGAAAGACCATCCCGAGTTCTCGCACTACCTGTACCTGATCGCTCCGATCCAGCTTCTGATCATCAATCCGATCGGTTTTGTGCTAATGGAGTACGGTCGTCTGACGAAAAGACAAATACCGTCACGGTGCAGGAGCAAGGCAAGCTCTCACTATTGGAAAACTATCCTAGGAATCCTGAAGAATCCCATCATGGTCATGACAGCTGCTGGCATTGTGGGTAACTTCGCTTTCAAGCAAAAACTTCCCCGCTTGCTCGAAGTGACGACCGAACCTCTCGGAGCCGCCTTCTCTGCCAGCGCTCTCTATCTTCTAGGCCAGAACATGGTCGGGGGCTTCAGCAGCATGTGCAAATACACAATGTTGACCACTACCCTAATCGTCTCTGTGAAAGTTCTGGCGGCGCCCATTCTGATCCGCGAAATCATGTCCCAGATGGGCATTCCCGACCCAGCGTACACGGATTTCGGCTTCCTCTACGGGATGCTCCCACCCGCTCCGACGGTGGCGATTTTTGCCGCTCAGTTCTGTCTGCCGGGAGAAGCGGTCTCGGCCGGAGTCGTCGTCGGAACCTTCGTTTCGGCCCCGCTCATCTTCATCACCGCCACGATGAGCAAGATAAGTGAATCGAGCCAGTCGTACCAACAGACGATGGTGTCCGCCATCTCGTATACCAGTCTGATCGCCTTACCGCTCTGTCTATGGACGCTCTTCGTTTTGATCCCGAAAAAGCATCGAATCACTCACTCTACGGCAATTTGGCTACTATCGGCCCAAACACTGACTTGCATCGGAGGGATCATGCTCTTCTGGGCGCCGGGAGACGGCAGCGTATTCTTCTACGTCCACACGTCGGTTTCGCTGGCGGGTATTTTCGCCTCGCGCATCTGGACAGCGATGATAGCGACCATTCTCATGCTGTGCCACGAGAGAAGTCTCTGTTTCGTGCTCAAGATCCGGAGCACGTTGTTGATCGGCGGTTCCGCAGCCTCGCTGATCGCCACTCTCATCCTATTGGCCGGTATCCCGTTCGGGAGCCACTTAAACCTCATGAACGATCCGAACTTCCATCTCGGCCGAATCCAGGCGGGTGTCGCGCTGATCTTCCTCATCATTTCCTTCCTTGTGACGATGTACGGCCTGGTTCGCCAGCAGAGGTTCCGGTCGCGTGAAGAATACGAGCCTTTATTCATCGCTGACGACGCGAACTCAGTATCCCCGAGCGTCTCTAATAATATTTCCGTGGGACTTAACGATCAGGCGGTACCGCAACTGCCAACCCCGGCGGCTCCTGCCAGTTCGTGCGCTAATTGCTCCTGCTACAAGGGTAACCAGCCTGGAACGGCTAACGCCCTCCCAGACCTCGAGGACTTCGGGCTGTCGAATTCAGTCAGGCGTAAAGTTCCGAGAGTGCGGCGGCTAAGCGAAAAGCAGGAAGTTGCTGCCACGGCAAGTAGCTCGGTGGTCAGCACGGATCCGACCATGTGTGGTCCGACTTACCATTGCACACCTGCCGACAGGAAAACGTGCATCTCATCGGTAAAGCAATATCTCGAACAAGTACACCCCGGCGAAGAAGTCACCGAGCCCGATGTGGATCTTCATCAGAACTTCAGACATGTTTGTTTGCTCCTAATGCTTCTGTTCTCGATGATGATCGGCATAGCGGTCTCGCTCTGGCAACTGCTCACCGAAAAACCAACCGGCATTTTGCTAGAACTCGAGTTCTTAGACATAATCTTGAATTATGGGCAGGGAATTCTGACGTTCATCGTATTCGGGGCCGACGCCTCGTGGCTGCTTTTCCCGTACCATGCGATCCTGAAATTCTTCTGCAAAAGCGAAGTCAGCATTCCTGCGTTTTGCGAACTTTCACCCGAAGTCAAACAGCTCTGCGAACAATTCCGGATCTATCACTTGGAAATCTTTGCGAACGACGTCTGGCCTGGAGTCGATATAGAGAACGTCAAGTTTTCCGGTCAGCAAATGTGTGATTGGCTGTGTATGGTGGGATTGTCTCACTCTCGAGACGAGGCTGTGACGTACGGTCGCACTCTTCTAGAGGGCAGGACAATCGTACACGTTTCGAAAGAAAAACATTTCGAGGACGATGTCCACCTATACCAGTTCCTAGCTCATCCTCCGTGTGCCGTTCGAGCAAACAGCGATAACTTCAATGTCTAAAAGAACGCGAGGTTGCGCGCGAACGAAAAGTGATATCCGAGTGAGAAAAGATTTACCTTTAAGAAGTTCATCCGTTCCTCGTGAACGGCCGATCTCGATCGAGAAGCTGTTCCCAATTCATCGAGCATATTCGATACTCCACGAGGTTCGCATTTTTCACATGTTCGAGGTTTGAGATGAATATTGTGTCGAAGCGAACCTGCTCGAGATTCATGGCCCACGGACAGATCTTCTGAGTTTTGGTCCTAGAAAGAAAGAACTTATCGAGATCTTTGTAAAATTTGTATCTCACAGCAATTATCAGACTCCGTCCTGATCTGTATAGAAAATGAATGATTAATGACTGGAACAGCGTAAGTTATCAATCTAATGGTTGCAATTTTCATCGAAAGGAAAATATTTTAATAAATTATGTTGAAGTTTGTAACTCTGGTTTTGCGCTTGGAAGTGGTGCGCCTTCGTGATAAATAAGATCCTTGGGATACGTGCTGACAGACTTACGAACTGATAGACTCAGTTTCTTGAAGTCCTTATGACTATTCGGGATGCTGGGGGCTCAGTCAGTGATCCATGTCTTCACCTCAGTTTGCGGGACTTCAACTGACAGCGAGGCGCGTTCCACCCGCGAGACTTTGATCCTTAAGCCCCTCGATTTTCGAAACCCAAAAGCTAGTATTCGTCAGCTCGGGACAGGACGGATGATTCAACGTAGGTTTCGGATATCTGGGAGGAGAGTCGCGTCCACGCGCACGACTCCTGGTTTCTGTGCGATCGACAATACAATAAATCATAATGGGGATTCTCGTCAATGTGTCATCCTATTGGCTGAACTCACCGCCGAATTCAATCGTTATCGAAAAAGAGGAACGATGGAACGCACCCCTGCGAGCTGTGCGACGCGAAGGTCCAACGGCTGGCGATCATCCCGATATCGACCACGGGTTATCGGATACCAGTCAAAAGATCGATTCTTGATCGTTCACTTCCGCCAAAGCAAAATGAAAACAAGTATGTAGACAATACACTGACTGAGTTTATTTCACTTTCATTTGAGCAAAGCTTCTCCCTTGGTCCCGATTCGGGTCAGGTAATCCGGGCAACTCCGCCAGTCAGACAGGGGTAAAAATCCCGACGGACGGCTCGTAGTTGAAAGGCTTGGCCCGGTCTTTGCCGCTGAAAAGAGGACGAGAATGTTCCGAATTGAGAAAACCCAAAGGAAATCCAATCGCGAAATTTCTCATGGCGGGATCCTTCGCTCTGACTTACTTCACTTTCCGAATAACTTTCAACGCGTCTAGGTTGAGCATCACCTCGAACGAGACGAGGGCTTGTTTCGCCTGAGAACTCAACAGCAAAGAGGGTTCACCTCCAGTATAACAGTTTACTGTTTTCTCGAGATCCTTCAACTCCCCACTCGTGAGCGAGGTGGCGTTTTCGAACGAGAAGAACCAAAATGGAGCCTCTTGAGGATAGAGTTGAGGAACCGAGACCAGCGCTCTCAGATTACCTGGAAGCAAAGTCAGTAATCGCAATCGCAGTTCGCCCCGTCTGAAGCTTCGAAAAGATTTCCGACCGAGCTCGATCAAGCCATTTATGAACTCACGTTTGTCCAGCGTGATGACGGCTTCGAAGAATATAGACTCTTTGAACATCATTGCCTTCAACGCGTCCGTCCCAGCACCAAAGCCGATTCGCATCTGAAAATCATCCTCCGTTATCGCCACGTGGAAACCGCACAAGCGGATGTTGGTTCTGACGGCATTCATTCACATGAAACCGAGTCATTTGGAAGCGAGTGAATATCTTCATAATCAAATGGACGAGGTGAACGCACCATTGCTTCCTCCATCGTTATTTTCTTGAACTTTTCCAATCTGCTCGAGACCTCTCTTGGGAATCTGCCCTCTACATCGACGATTCCCTCAGCCAGTCGTCCCAACTGCTCGTTCAATACGACCCGAGTCGACAATCTGTCCCGTATCAGTTTTAGTGTCTGTTCGAAATGCTTCTGCGATAGTTCGGCAGAAGGCGTGACGCTCGCAGACAGAAAGTCCAAGCCACACAGCCATTGGGTCCATTGGTAGGGTTTGCCGAGACGGCACACGCCGAGCGCTCGCTCCAGGTTTTCCACTCTGAATGCGAATAAAGTACGTTTGAATGTCGTCCACAGACGTATCACGCTTTCGGTCTCACGGACCAGGATTCTATTGAAGCTTCGTTGTGTTGAGCCCCTACAGCACTGACCCATTCTTCGCTAGGAGATAACGCGTCGTGGGATTCGGCGACTGCGATCCATTGTCCCCAGAGAAGAGACCGTCGAGAATGGAGTCGACATCGGCGATATGAACTTCCAACTTAGAACAAACCACCTTCAATGACATGATGTACGAGAACCTGGGGAGCAATAATGGGAATCAGATCCAAAGATCTTGCACTTGGACTCCTGCCCTTCATGGCCCTGCTGCTGTGCAGGATTCGAGTAACGTTGCGCCTCAGGTATTCTCACCGAACAGGAAAACCCTTCTCCGTGGCAGTTTTCATCGCGATGTTCACCGACAAGGGGAAGGGTTTCAGAAATGCTTTCAGTTGATTCTGCTCTTCTTGGTTGGCAGATTTCGATGTTGTCCTTGTCTTACGTTTCTTCTTTTTCATCGTCACCAACTCGTCGTTGTCCGAGTCAGACTCTTCATCTGCACCAGTGATTTTATCGAGGACTTTCTTTGCTTCGTCTACGTCGCCTTCGATCGCCACCGATTCTATCATGTCGGGATACACCTCTTGGAAAGCGCAGGCTTCGACGTAAATCACGTATAATGGTCGGCACAGGAACTGAGCGTCCAAGTGCTCTGGTTGGCTGCGCTGCAGCGTCATGCCTTCGGGAGAAAAAACAGGGAAGTGTCAGAAAAGGAATGAGGAATTCCCATCAATCGGAAGGTATAGCTTTTAGAGAAGCTTTCAAGGGCCGCGAACGGATTGGATCCTCGCTCGTCTTCCAATCTTTCTGACCTAAATGCGAATACAGAGGTTGGGCGGATTCCAATATGTTGTTCAGAGTGGGCTGAATTTTCGAGAGAACAGCCTCCTTCGTTTCTATGTCGTTGATTAGATCCCTCTTCCTGGAGACACTCGTCTCCAAGCGCTGCGCTAACTCTTGTCGCATGCTCAGCTCGTGCTGCAGTCTGGCCATGGTGATTTCGTGCTCGCTGGTCGAGTTCCGGATATCTTCGGGCGCCGTTTTGAGGAATTCTTCCTTGGGTATGAGGTCTATGTTCTCATGCATCGATCTGGGGGAACAGTAATCAGGGAGGAATGAGGATCAAAACTCCGGGGAAAAATCTGAGACACGACTTCGGCGGCTGGGAAGTACGAACTTGAATTCCAGACATTTGTCGACTTCGCTCCGTAGGTGACCGGCCTCGTATGCCAAGTTTTGCAGCTGCAAGTGCAGTCCGTCGACACGGGAACGATTCTCTTTGACAGCATCTCGGGTCGCCTTCAGTCGATGCTTGTCGAGTCTGTTCAATTTCCGGAGAGCGACCATGGTTGCCAAGCATCTCACCTTGGGAAGTTCGCAAGATTGGTGGATAAGCACGATTTCCCCGAGACCCAGATATCGTTTGCCGCCATTATCATCACAGAGGATTTTCGTGAAGAATCGCTGACCTTTAGCTCCTGGATCTCTGCTCCATTCTCGCCCTTTTTCTTGCGCTGATCGATTTCCCGGAGACTATCCTTCAGTTGTTGACACAGGTCGGAGAATTTCTTGAAGTTATCCGAAGCGCGAAGCTCTTGGGCTTGAGCAGCCTCGGCGTCCCAGTAGTCAACCGCAGGAGGGGCCGCGACCTGCGAGAACCAGAGGGAAGATTAGAGTTTCTCGGGCTCGAAGACTGCAGAATTTCCCCTCTTTCCCGAAATTTCGCTCAATTTTCGGGGGTCCGGGGTCTACATGTGAAAGATTGCTCCTCACCTCTGGGGCCACTGCCGTGATCGTCCGCGCGAGCCTGACACTTTTTTTCGTTATCGGCATCTTTTTCTGACGAGGAAATCCGATCTATATAGGGATTGGGGGTTCACGGAGCCTCTCAGCCGCTCTTTCAAAAGCCGGCACTTGGTAAACAAAGCCCAGAACTTGTGAGTTTATGTCGCGATGTCGATCTTGTCTCCGAACATTTGGTTATCGGTGGTGGCAGTTGAGTGGGAAACGTGACAGTCTTCACCGTCGCGATCCGTTCCTAAGTAGAACTTAGTAGAACTACGAGCGAGTCTCTCAGAGCCTGATGGAAAGTTTCGAAAACTCGAATCTATTTACATGTGATCGACGACGATGATGTCTGTGATCTCGACCAGCACAGATCACCGCCATCATCTCCGCGGGGCGGGCGCCCTGACTCCGATCGACGTCAGCGACATCGGACAGTCTAGCAGAGACCCTTGGAGTTCGGGAGCGCCTCCCGCGGGAGCTTCCGGCGGACCCCGAGTGGAGCTCCCTCCTCGCCTGAGCATCGCCAGGGCGGAGGATACTTTGTCTTCAGCCATGCAGTATTAGGCGGGCGGTCCGACATCAAGATAATGCAAGATTTCTCTCCGCGCGGAAATCCACCCAGCGAAGAGTCCGGAATCCGTATGGAGCACGTGGGGAACATATCTTTCATACGCCACGGACCCCGGATTCCACGTTCGCCGAAGTCGGTTCTTTTCCGGGAGCGACGAATTCCTTCTCATCGACAACCCCACTTGAAGCGCCCTCGAGCAGCCGAAGGGCTTGTCTCGGATCGGAGGCAGCCAATAATAATTCATGATTCCATCATGCTACGAGTGGAAAACGAATTATCTCCACCGATCATTTCAAATGCCCCAGCAAAGGGGCCCATTCTCGTCAACTTCCTACGCTGGCCCTGAAGCGGTCATCCGGGAAAAAGGCACTTTTATAAACGGGAGAAAATTGGATCGCGGGCGAACCTTCCCCTTCGCCCGCAGATGCCTCGATATTTGATGTATTAATTCTGATAGAGACTAGCTTTCGCCTGAGCACTAGCGCATCGAATGGCATACACTCCCATGCTCGGACTAATCGGTTGCTATTCAAGTCGTCCTGCGAATCTGCCGACCAGTCTCTGTTCTTTGTGCATCGTCAGAGCCAGGACTAAATGGCTAGATGATGTCGTCAAAATGATTGGCCATAAAAGCGTCAATAAATACGAAATGACGGATGCAATTCTCCAGGCACAAGGCAGCTATGTGACACATTTTGGACTTTATCCCGGTAACAAAAAGCATGGTACACTCTCGATCCGAGCTCAAGGTCAGCTGGGAACAGGATTTCATGCCCTGGATCTACGTAAAACTGTCTTGTCGATAAAAAATAAGGTGACCCAGATAACGTCCCTGTTCACCTTGAGCCCGTTTCGTTATGGACCGAATCCGGCCCAGCTTCAAGGACGCTCCTAAGCGATCCCCTTAGAGGAATCGCTCCAGCGAGGCTCCGGAATGACTCGAAGGTATCGGTCCAATGATCTTTGTAGGATTTTCGGCCTAGCTGAGGAAAGTGGTCAGCAAGCAAGCAAGAAAGCACCTCTCCGCGCAGGGATCGGTACGCTCCGGAGGAACCCGGAAATCCCGGCCCACGATCTCCCAAGGCTCACAGCTCTCCATCTTGTTCGCGGGTCAAGCGCTCCTCCTTCGAGAATGGACGGACTCCGAGTCGGCGGTGGGAAGCTGTCTCTCTTCTCGCGTCCCTATGATCTGAAAATGACAGCTTCTCAAGAAATCGCAAACTCTCCTGACTGCTCCACCGAAGTCAAGCAAACTGATCGACCTCGGATGTCGGGCCTTCTGCCCCAACCTGAGTCGGGAGAGCAAGCTCGACTGCGGACATGATTTTAACGGCAAGGACGGGGCATAGACCTTCGGGGAAAGCAAGGGAGAGTTGATTTTCAGCCCTCGACGATGGAGGCCACCTGATGTCTGGATAAACAAGCGGCCGTGTCCGTCTTGAGATAGGAGGGACATCAGCTGTAGTCAGCTGAATTCCGCCGAGGATGCACATTGTCTCTGCGCTGTCGGGATTCACATGGCTCCCAGAGCGCACAATAAACAATCGCTGTAGCGATGGCCGGTAGTCTCTAGCCGCTTACGCGAAATCCCCCCTCGTGGACGCTCTAGAGTAAATTGGTTATTAATGTGCGATCTCCAAAGAAAGTGTGAGTTTATTACCTCGGATGCCCCAGACCCTTTCCTGGCTCACGTCACAGCTGGATCGCGTTGAATGAGTCGATGAGGCCGCTAAGGTATATTATCCAGTTGTTTTTCCGCGCAGACTCTGATACAGAAACTTAAAGCGAGAGATCCGCGGCAGCAGCGCCGGTCCTCCTGTTTCCATAGGTCTCCCACCAGGTAAAAACCAGAAAAGCCTACGATGGATTTCGAAGGAAGACGGACTCCAGCCAACTAATTGTCCGATGTGCCCCTTCTCGATTATACGTTCAGACGAATATGCGGTGGATTATGATATACTCCATCGTCTTGTGGTGCATCATCCCTGCCTCTGGCGAAGAGTTCTATAGAGGGGGCAGAGAGGTAAGATACCTTGTCTGTACTGTAGCTCAGAACCCCTTTCAATCCGGAAGTCTTCGAGGCGCTAGCCGATGTGGGAAATCCCTCTTATTCTGCTTTCTCAGATTTTCCTCAACAAAGATGTTGGTCCCATCGGGAAAAATGTGTCCGGGTTCCGTTCGGAGTTGATTTTGGCTGAAGTGAACTTTGAGGGTAGCCGTCCGACACGTTGTCGGCTCTCCTCGATCCGGTGAGTGTTCTCACTCTAGATGGAACAACGATACCCACATGGAAATAACGGGATATCGGCTTCGATGCGGCTCGGGGAAAAATCTTTCAAATGGGGAATATCTTTAAATATATTTCGATAGGACGACTCCGTAAGGGGCTGGGGATTCGGCAATGCTGACCACTTGGATGCGCCTACTTCGTCCCCCGAATATCGGAATCTGTACCGCTTTCGGGCCCTCATGATTAACTGATCTTGGAGATGGCTAGTCTGCCAAATCGGGTCGTGGAACGGCGGAGTCCCGGAAAGGCCGTGCGCGGGACTTATCTACAGGGTGGGGCAGTATATTCTCCCCATTTTGTTTTGCTCATGGAATCCGAACCATGAGGGCTAGCGAAGTTCTGTTTGCGGCAAAATGTTTAAGAGGACTCGCCCTCTCAGGAAAGAATCCATTTGGTCCGATACCTCCAAGCTGGAGAACAAGAATCAGCGGGAAAGCGAGGGAAACGGGTTTTCCCGCAGAAATCAATACCGAGCTTCATGAGAATGACGTTCGATGCACTTCAAAAAGTCAATTTTGAACGTCCACCAGCTGAGGAGTCTCGGACCAGAGGATTTTTTCTCTGAAAGTGCAAGTCCTCGTGGTCATTCTACTGCAAGCAGAATTCCGCTAGCCTCCTTGGCTCGTATTTCATGGGGATCATTCAAAATGGGGAATTTATACCCTGTACATATATACCCTGTATCATATAGGTGTCATATAGATACTGCCCCATCATGCGGTTCTCTCTGGCATTAAATCCAGAATCTAGAGCGAATGTAGGTGGGCGCGTGTCTTAGGATCGATGAAGACTGCCCGCAATGGAACTGAGTTGGGTCAGCTAGTTCGTGGGGATTCAGGAAAAATGCATCTGGGGTTAGCGGAGTGGTAGTCCTACCGCTACGCAGCACTTCATTAGTTGGGGGCAGAAGCGAATGAGGTTCAGCGATGGGGAGGCTCGGGCGACTCTGGAACATCTGCAAGCTTACCGATCGCTCGAATCGATATTTACCAGCGGAAGGATCCCGATGTGGGAATCGTTCCCTCTGAGAAAGAGAAAAGAATTGGACCTGAGGACGAATCACCGCGCAAAGTTCCCAGCCCAATCGATCCGTCTGCAGGAGGAACCGAAGAGTGATCGATTGGCCGACGCGTCTGACCGACGTCATGGAAACGTGCTCCTCCAGGATCGGCCTTCATTTCGTGGACTTCACGTCGGGTAGGAGCGCCTCTGATTGGGCGAGAAGGAGTTTACGATACCCGTCGGCGGCAAAATCTCTTTTTCTCGGCCCAGGTGGATTTGCTCCCAAGATCCGACCTCGGAAGAAATACTCGATCGGTGCCGCCCGAGACCTCTACCTGGATATATGGTTGGCATTCGACCATTCATAGGCCTCCCGAATGTAGCCTTCCATATCGCTCGTTCGGCACTTCTCATGAGCTTCGGAGCTTAATCACGCAAGCATCTTCCTGGTCTCATCTCAGCTACCGAGAGAGATAGAGGGGCCAGATATATGAGTTGTGAGGAGAGAACACATAACTCAACGAGTCCCCCGTGCATGGAGACAGGATTCAGCCTTGCCGTGATTGCTATAGTACGCTCTGTCCCTCTCCTTCTCTGTTAAATTGCATTCAGTCTCCGTTTTCAGCCAACCGGGCGATGATGATCGTATCAAGGAACTTCTCAGCGACGTCAGCATCGTCGAGGACGACAAAATGCTGCAGTGGGTGACCATATGCGGGAAACTCGAAACGAAGCTCAGGGGGGAAACCGCCTATGACGACATGTGGTATATTATGCAAGAAATATACCCAGGTGAGCGTCTTACTCCTCAAAGCCGTAGCCTCTGTCGCGGCGCATTTCGAGCACCGGAATTCACACTCGCATTTTTTCTCCCTCATGTCTCCCAGGTACCTTGTGGTGCGGACCGGGAAACGTCGCTGAAAGCTACGCTCAACTAGGTCGGTATACTGAAACCGATCGATGCTGTCGGAATCATGACTATTGTCCGGTGTGCATTCCTCCTCACACGGACAAATATGGTTTCAACATGACCTTCGCATACTCTGTGCTCAGTTGTGAGTGCGACCGCCAGTTCCATCAGTGCCTGAACAAAGCTGCGATCAGGCATAGATCGGCCAGATTTGTGAAGGAAATCTACTTCAGGCTATACAACGGGCATTGTGTGGGCTACAGTAATGGCAGACGGCGGCCCTTCAGGATGAGCGAAGCGCTCCACGATTATCTGTTCAATCGATAGGATCTGTGATCTGACCCCCGGAATGCATTTTTAATAATGTAATAATAAAATTGTGGAACGAGAATGCAAGGGCAGCTAACGACTCTTCTACATAGATGTCCATCGAGCGCCTTCAGGATCCTCGCAATCCTTTCTTGAATATGCCCCGATCAGGGACGTTCCTGGCGGAATGTGGCATCGCACAATCGGCGGATCGATGATGCACCTGAATGCATGTCCGTCATTCCTATACTCATCCACATAGTCTTTTTTGTACATTTACCTATGTTGAACCGACAACACTATCCGCCCATCACTGCAAGTCAGATTGAGTCGCGAGGAAAATCTTCACCAAACAGATCTTACTCGGTGGATCTAGATGCTCGGCTGTTGAAATAAAGAATTCGAAATCACCTGGCAATGCAGGATGAGGAGTCTCTTCTCCGGAACTATGCTGCGCATGCGACGCGAATGATGCTTCACGAGTTCTCCTCACACACAAGGCTGTTGAGGCTTTACATTGTCGAAGGTGACTTTGCCAGCTCAATTTGAGGACTAAGAAGCCGTACGAAATTTCGGGGGCTCAGCGGGACGAAGAGAAGAGCAACGCGTTCTACGTATCCGGCTCCCCTGTCCTCTCGGCTGTGTCCCTTCCGCTCTATCCGACCAAGAATTGTGGTTCAGTAAATGAACTTCGCAATGTCGAGGCACGACATCTGGAAGGCGACGAGGCAAGGGAGCGAGCTAGGTCGAGTTTCTCCAGGAGACGAAGCAGATATGAAACATGCCGCAACATGTCGATTCGATTGCGGAAAGGCCAATGTCACCAAACAAAGCGTCGCAAACTCGTCAAGCATTGCATAAGCGAAGAGGACCGGGTGTATTCGTGCAAATTGGACGGAAAACTGGAGGTGAAGAGCCACGCCTTCCCTTCGGTGCGATATCCGCACCTGCCAAGATGCGAGATGCGCTCCGAGAGCTTCTCGGACCACTGACACTGAATGGGTCGCGCTATAGCGCTCAGGGAGCGAGCGAGCGAGCAAACGCCGTCACGTCGTTACGTAGTTGTTGTCCTTTGCGTGGCTTGCTTGTCGACTGGCTTGCCGACGGGCCCACCGCTCGGGTGGATGGGTGGTGGCTTTTGAGACCAAGCTTGACCAGCCGAACATAGAACTTTCGTAACCAGCTTGGTCAGCCCCTGAAGTCACTGAAAGATTAAAAGCGTTTTAGTCATCCACCCTATGGAGATGAAAGAAGATCCTGTTCGGAAAAGATGGAGAGAACGAGGTCCGGCAACAGCGAAAGTGGCCATATAAGCAGCGAGCGACTCGCTTCCAGAGTATACGTGGTGGTGTAGTGTTGTGTTGTGTAGTGTCCTCAAAGCAAACGTGAGTGCCTGCAGAGGAGGAGAGTTTCCTCACGAAATCTGTCCGAGGACCTATGTCGCTGAACTTCGGAGATTGAGGTAGAGAGTATTTTTTGCAGATGGTTTCAACGAAGTCTTTGGTTCGGAACATGGGGCTTTCTCTCCTGTTGGTGTTCTGGTGTCTTTCTATCAATCTTTCACCTGCCTTGGCTGCGGATCCCCCTTCTAAACACTCTAGCAAAGCCGCCCCCCATCCTCCTCCGATGCCCAAATCTCCAAAAGCCGCCGGTAGCGCTCCTCAGCCTCGGAGTTTCGGTTACGGGGGATACGGTGGCTATGGTGGAGGGCACGACTTGTTCGACCGCGGTTTCGGCGGTGAATTCCTTCCCATTCTGGCGGTCATCGGATTCGCCGTGATCTTCCTCCCGATTTTCGGTAAGAACATCTTCATCACGACTCTCAGGCTCCGATGAAGGATTAACGTTGAGTCTCCGAACAGTCGATGTTTACGTATCGCATCTCCGCTCGGACTCAGGGGAGATGACTGGGGAGAAAGACTACGAGGGAACCGATTCAGATTCTTTTCCTTCGCAGGCATCCTCATGGCTTCACTCAGCCAATTTTCGGCCCCAATCGGTTTCCCACTAAACCAGGCAGTCACAACAGCAACTGTTGCAGGCCGACGCAAGCGCGAGGCCAATGACGAAACCCTCCTCAAGCTTCTAAAGGGATTCGATAAGTTCTACAAAGGTTTTGCGAAAAGTCAATAAGTCGCATTGGAGTATCCTCGCCGAAGACACAAAGCCGTCTGAAACATCATCGCCTCTAGGGAGGCATCATCCGCCACCCTCTGCTGGCTCGGAGAAAATCGAACTATCATTAATATATGGATAGGAATAGCGCCCGCGTCGTGAAGTCCAAAAGTCACTTGTACAGTCCTGAGGTCCCGTTTAGTGAGAGTGCCGTGGTTCAGTTTTGTCCTTACAATAAATCGTGGTGAAATTGCGTCTGTGATCGAAACTGAACTCCCCAATATTCATTCGATGGGATGAGACGATATCCTATATGACGCTCGGACGACGAATAACGATTTTTTGAGGAGCTTGTGCTCTACTCTAGGTCGTCGGCGCTTTAAACCCGTTAACCAATGCTTGCTATGCCCTCGCACAATACTTGAATGAGGTATGTGAAGTTTCGTTTGCACACGTGATGGAATTGGAAGAAAATGGACCGCTGGAGCTTCGAACGCGGCAACCATGACGTCATGCAGAGTATCATCATCATGGCTTTGATACGTTCGAGCTCTGGAGCACTCGCGTCCACAGCGGGTGACAGCTGCGGACGGGATTGCTCTCCACCCGGAGTATCATTTTGAAAAGCCCACAACTCTGCTCATGCAGCTTCTCAGCTCAACACCGATACGATACTTGACACGCTCCGATCCAAGTCGACCCGGCTTCATATCGATACCCCAGGAGTTTTGTTGATCATGACTTCGTGCCACGAATCTCGAGAGCGGTATTCAGCTCTGAAGCGGCTTCGGCTGGCGACTTCTCCCTCTGATTTCAGGACGAGGATTGTTCTTTACTAATTCGCGCGCGTCCGTGTGTCGACCGAGATTTTTGCGGCGGATGCTTCTGGAAGCAGCCGATGTTCGAAGCAGCTCAAAAATATCCCGTTAGTGGATTACACTATTAGCGGAATGCATAGATCACTGTAGCGGAATGCCGCATCGATACAATGAGAAGTCCGGCAATCATTCATTTCTGAGCTGAAAGCTTTGGAGTTCTGACTCCGAGTGACCCTGCTTCTGTGTTACGCTCTGTATTCACCACGAATGCCGGGCGAACATTCCTGAGTAGCCACCCGCCACCTAAAAGAATCTAAGAGAAAAAAGCTGATGAAAGGACCAGTGAGGTTCTTCTCGACTAGGTGACCGAAAACCCCGTGTTTTGAGCGTAAACTGTTTCAACAATCATCATTTATTTGCGCGCTTCACCTGTCAGCTGAGCTTTCTCCGCCTCCGGTCGGGTAGTATTCTCCTCCAGTGGAAACAAATTAACATCACTGCCAAACCGAAAAGCGCGAGCACCATTTTCAGAATGTCCGACCGGAAACTGAACAGTAACCGGCTTCCGTCTGCGAGCTGGCGATACTGCTTCATCAGAAACGGGCGAGGTGCAGGAATCGAGCCAAAGACAGCTGACGGCTTTAATTTTTCGTCGAGATCCATCTTGACCACACGGAATTTCTCCCGGAGAGCAATCGCCATCGGAAGACTCAAACGCTATCTTCAAGGCGAGGCAGCTTATTGATTCTCTCCTACATGTACTCAAGCTGATGATCTGTCACAAGCTTCCGTCGTACACTCTGGCAGAGTTTTTGGGCAAATACTCGCAAAAGTCATCAATACTCCGATTTCTGGTGATTTCCTCTGCACAATGACCGAAAGAAACTTTCACGCGGTCGACACGATGGCTCATTTCCTGTAGTGTTCGGAACACGCAGCCGACTGGCGGCGCGATGAGAGTGGCCCCAGAACGTCACCAGACAGCAGCACTTCCGTCAAAAGAGCATCGGCGCCAGAACACCGCCTTATTGTTCCATGTTCTCGATGGCAAAACTGGAAGTGGACCGCTCGGATCGGCTGACCGATTTCAGCTCACCACTCCTGACGAATGGCGCTCTGACTGAGTAGCGAGCCGAGCAACGGCAGCGGCGCTGGCGGGGCGGAAAGAAGGCACCACCGCAGTGAAAGGACGGAAACAGCCGGCACTTGCCTCTGCCGAAGCCACTGCTGTCAAAATGAGAGTGGCAAAGCTGTCGAGGTTTCTTCTGGAATTCGGCAGCTCAGTCGGAGTCGAGAAGAATCTGCGGATGTCTAGCGAGGGATTGTTTGATTGAGAGCTCATCGGTGACACCGCGAATTTCTCTCCCAATCTGGTGCGGTCCGTTCATCCTCCTGGAGGACGAGCCTGTGCACAAGGGGGTGTCCACCAGAGCAGAGATATTAACGTCGGACACGTTCTCGCTCCAGGCGGTTCTATTAAAATGTAGGATATAGTCTATGCTGAGTTCTGGCGGGGACCAGAAACGACTCGGGGGAGTGTCTCATCGTGATGGCAGCGTAAATCACTTCCAGGTCGGCGGATATAACAGTACCGTGCTTGTAATACATTGAACGAAACAATGAGTGACTTTACATCTGAGGGACCATTGCTTTTTATTCGATCATTATCGATGTTATACCTTTCGAAAACAGCGTGACCTTCGAGCAGTTTCGGGATCAGCCGCAGGCTCCTTGTCTTGAGCTCATTTACTGTTTACCTCGATTGTTCTCAGAGAGTTGTACCAAACGGATTCCAGCGGACACCGATCATCGTCTCGATTGCCGCCGGAGAAAGTCGAGATATTTCGACTTGTGATTTAGAGTATCGGCCTTTCTGCGGCTCAACGATTCGTGGCTATCACCTAGAAAATGATCTCATACTTGTCCGTGTCCTCGGGTTTTCCGGATCTGCCGTCTGAGTTCCGGACGACAACAGCCATGTCTTCGGGACAACCATCACAATCGCATCGGTTGTTCGCGCAAGTCCATTTGGTACACTGACGCTCCCAGCAGGCGTGGTTGCACCTCTTCGGAACGCATTTGCCATTGAGTGTGACGTCATCGCGAGTCTCATTGGTTCGAGGTCGGAGCCGGAAAACATCGACCGAGACCGTGGAGGTTTCCTCAAGGTCCGAGGACGGGGTAGTTCCGAGGTCATCCGCAGCTTCTGCCTCGGTGGTAGTTGCGACGGATGCTTCAGTGGGCTTCGACGCCTCACACTGACCGCACTGGCAATTACCGTAGCGGCAGCCGACTTTCACGCAGCCCTTGCACATATCATCGCATTCATGCGCGACGCTGCACGTTTCTTGCGGTCTGCCCAAAGAGCGAGGCTCCACCGCGTCCCGATTACTGCAGGAGAGGCATTGGCAGTAGTTCTTCTCGCACGTTGACGTCGTGCAATTCGAGCACACGTGGGAACAGTCTTCCGCTTGCTCACAAGTGTGTTGCATGGTGTAGTACACCTTTGAGCTCTGGAAAATCGAGAAGATTAGATCAGACACAAGTTCGAGGGAGCAGGATCGAGTCTGGAATCTTCAGATCTCCGAGTTGTCCCGGGTCAAAGACTCGGAATCTCAATTTCGTCAATGGGATGAGATCATACAGCGATAATTTTTTCATAGAAATGCGCTCACCGAGCCGTCGTTCTTGCCGAGTGTCTCGAGAAGTTTCGATATATCTCGGAACCGATCTTCGAATCTGGGCATCGTGGGGAAATCGAAGAGCCGAGGGAAACTAGGCACGTTCTGATTGAATCGTGGCGTGTATCCGTTACCGAAAATACTCCGGAAGAATTCCCGTGGGCTTATTTGCCGGGTGCAAAGACATCTGCAACGGAGACCGCAACCTTCTCTCAGCTTCTTCAACGATTAAATCGGTATGGGAGATGCGAGTTGAGAATATCAAACTTTACCCTACCCGCAGCGATTGTTGGATAGACAGATCGCGTCCTGACAGCCCGATCGGCGACACATCGCGGAGCAGAGGAAATTTGAGCATTCGGTCGGACGCGCTTCGTCATCGGCGTCGTCGTCGTCGTCGTCATCGTCTCTGACATTGGGTTTGACAGTCGTCACCGGAGTCCGGACGGTGCTTTCTTCTGCGGGTGATGATTCTGTGGGGAACGAAAACCGAGGTGATAATCGTTCTCAGGAACACATGTCGCGCTGGGTCTGGCGAGGAGTCCTTCATTCATATATAGATTTCGCTTTCGAGTTTCGTCCTGAAGTCTGGTCTCTGAGCCGAACATCGATCTACCTTTGAGTGGGCTCGGATGCGAATATCTGAATATATTGCCCCGGTCAAGTCCTGGAACTCATATCTAGCTCGTTCTGGATTTTGTTTTCGACTGTGTTCTGGACTCCACATTGATCATAATCCACGACTCCCGTTTATTCAGATGAAAAAGCTGTGGTCGCTGACATCGGATACCGTAGCCAAAGATTGCTTGTCGCAGTCGACGCCAGCCGGACCGGACGACTTGATCATCGGATCATTGAGCGAATCCGTTGTTCAGATTGATATCCCTCGTTCGACAGCAGTAATAGTTGAACACAGTTCTCTTGACTCGACCGACGATCCGAAGTCCAACACTCAGTAGATCGAGTAGGGAAATAGCCTTCTGGCGAAGCACCGTTGAATCCGTTCGATTCCAGCGAGTCGGACGGAAACCCGATCCGACAGCGAATACATTCCGTTCCGGTGGCGATTCCCCGCCAGAAAATCTCTCGAAAAACGAGGAGGGCATCGGAATCGGTGGACAGTTGGACAGGCGCGGGACCTCGGGCCGCAAGTCTCGCCCATAATCCGAGCGGGACTCCCCACGGGGATCAAATTTTCCATTTCATAGGAAGAGTCCGAGCTCTGATTATATCCCGTCGTGCGGTGAAGAGCACCGGTGAAGATTCTTGGGACGGGGAGCTTGGTGTTCTTGATCCGGAAAACGCCTGACTCCCCAAAATGATGAGAATGAGCGTCTATCCAAAATGAGCTACGCTTGATGGTCGGATGGAGCGGAGCGATTCGATGAAAAATAATTTCATCACGCAGTCAAAGGAGCCTAATTGGCTGACACGCAATGGAAGCGAAGCTTCCAGAAGATTCGCGACTGCTCCAGCGGCCGCGTTGATAACTAAGTGGATGGTGACTGAAAACACGGCATTCAAAGCTGGGACCATCGAAAGCCGCGGTATTTGGCTCGAACCGAGAAGAGCTCATCGGTAACGGGGGAAGCTTCCAAGAGAACGGATTTCCTTGGGTCGTTCCTAGGGTCTACCCTCAAGACTCCTCAGGGAACCTATCTAAAACTGATCCGGATCGAGCCGAGATAGTGGGGGAACCGCATCTGCGCGTCAAGGAGGAATCCGGAAAGATAGCATCGGGTATAATAATCGAAGACTCCCTATTAGCGGACTCACCGACACCGAAGTCCTGCTCTCTTTCGAGGGCGTTCGATAACCCAACGAGAGCCAATACTGCTAATGCAGCAAACTTCATCCTCAACTCTTGTTTCAGGGGCGTAGTGTTGACTGGCAGCGCGCTTAGAGGCTCGTCGTGTTTATAGCGCCGGCGCGGCATGACGACAAAAGTCGGTGAGGGAAGAGAGTGAAGAGAGACATTTATTTGCTTTGACAGCCAGCCAGCCCGCTGGTGGCAGGAACCCAACTCGATGCATTTCTACGCCCTGATTCAAGTTGCATTGCCCCTGGGCAGAGCACATCATTGTAGAAGGGAGGTATACGGAACGAAGAACTAATCGTCTCGATCGACCCCACTGACACGATGTTTCTTAGAGACCCACAATAGAATCTCGAGGGATAATCCCGAGCGTCCCGTGCGAGACGGTCGTTTCTCTTCATTCGGTGGGGTCATGTCACGAATCACGAACCCAGCCGCGGCGTTGAGGGGTTCGTTCTCTCCGAATTCGATTCGCAACACCTTGGCAACCCCTGAGAACAATCGATAGGCGAGGGGAGAATATTACCGTCTGGCAAAAGATGGTTTCTGGTCTCATATACAGGACTAGGGTTCGAGAAGGAATCTGTCTCTTCGATTCGAGCGGATGATTCAGAGACATTGTCAACACGAAACCACAGAATTTCCGAAGTACGGGGAGCCTTCACAAAAATCAGCAGGGCGATGGAGCGGAATCATATTCGGATGAGTGAAGACCGATGGGATTCAAAACGGAACTTAAGCGCTGCTACCGATCATTCTCGGGTGAGAATTCATCGGTGTTCCATCCGAGGCACAGAACACGATTGAAAATCGTCACATTCCATCCTCGAACAGAAAGCCAATGATCGAACTGCTCTGTCACAACACCGGCCGGATAGAAGCAGTCGAAGGAGGGGGGTGGACGGAGAAGCCGAGTGAGGAATCTAAATTAAGGTAAGAAGTTCGAAATGTACATGAAATGAGGAGTATAATCGGCAATTCATCGCCATCAGGAAACACATCGGAGTTGTACGTGTAAGTCGCCGCGCCGCCTCGTTTCCTTGCATCGAGTCAGCGTAGTATCCCGTCAGTGAGCTCCATTGTTTATGCATGCTTCCACACAGAGCGCGATAGTGAGTCATGTTCCTCCCGACAACCTTCCGGCCGATAACCCGATATGAGAGATCCCGATTTCTGGAGAAGTCGATCATTCTCGTCGACAACCGGCACGCAAAAGAATCGAGACGAGCGGGCTCCCTCTGTCGATAGAAATTCGGCGAGTAAACATGATTCAATCCTTCCCGAAAACCTACGGATGACTGCGCATCAATCCTGAATCATCGTCGGAATCCCGTGGTGCGTATCACCAGCGGAATGGATTGCGTGCCGCTGGCCGATTTTCAGGATTCCGCGGACCTGGCGCTCAAGTCTCATCAGAAACATCTTTCATGGAGCCTGGAGACTCCCACAAACATCTCTGAAGCTCACACCTTCGGATCAGATACGAAACGTGCTCCCGGGAACAACATTCTACGCAGATAGAAATGCTACAAGTCGCTAGGCGATCGGTAATGCCTCAAGCGAAGAAGCATCTTGGCGCCGAGATAAATGTCGCAGAGAAAACGCGTGGATTGATTTGCGGGTTAACGATTCGGCGGAGTGCTCTTTCTTTATTCATGGAGGAATTGCCTTCTCCATTCACGGATGTGAGCGTCTGGGACACCACACTCCACCGGAGCATGGCGCTCGAGATACCTATGTATGTTGACTCGACTGCCGGATAAGCAAACGGTCCCCTTTCCCTCCCCTTCCCGTTCACCATTGAGTGTGCTCATATCTCTTATGTCTGGCTCAGACACGGTGTAAAATCAGGTCGAAGCTCCGTCTCGACTGCGATCCAACTTCGGTAAATGATAAAAAAGCGATTTTCTGACACAACACGCTATAACCAAAACGCGCTACGAACGAACACTTCCGACAAATCAGTGGTTCGCCTCTCGGGCGCACCGTTCTTCCTCGACCAGAGCATCATGGAGGGCCGCTATTTCCGCGGGGAGCCTCTGAGTCCTTTCCGTCACGATGCCGACCTTGGCCATCGCTTCCTGCAATTTATTCATATACTCGACCGCATCGTAATTGGGGTCGTCGGCCATGTGTCGCGCTGCCTGTAGTCCTATGAGGAAGTCTTCAACGTCCGAGATCAGGTCGAGATGTTCCTCGAGAACTCGTTCCTCCGATTCTTGGACAGCGGCGCAGGCGCGCTCCAGGTCGTTATTGGCCATGCTGTTATCCGCTCCAACACCGTCGTCCTCCATAAGCTCATCGTCGTCCTCGTCGGTCGGAGCCATCGCTCGCTCCCCAGCGACGAGTTCTTTCACCCGGTCGGCGTATCGGAGGGTGTTGAGTGTGTATTCGCAAGACGATTTGCCCGGCGAGATCATGGCAATCATGCAAGTTCGACTCTTCTCGCCAATGAACGAGTCTTTGAGGATATGCGTGAGTCGAGATTGTCTGAACGGCAAATGGCTGCTTCTACGACCCAGAGCTCGAATGCACTCTTTCAGGGCAAGGAGGCTCATGTTGATATCGGCAGCTTCTCTTCTTCCCTGGTGGTCATTGGTCTTCCACGTGTCCGAGGCTCTCTCGTTTCCAGCCAGATCGATGAGACTGAAGCGGCCGTGGAGCCTCATGTCTCGACCCGCCTGCCGGTAGAGACTGATCTGGAAGATTGCATGCGACCGAGAGGAGTTCGAGTTAGCGGTAGTGCTCCCGGAGGTCCGGCAGGAGTTACCCTGCTGAATCAGCGAGAGGACGTCCTGCACGGAGTGCACCTTGGTCTCTGAGAGACCGACCACCTGCACTTGTTGTTTGCCTTCCATGATTCGCAGCAGTTTTTTCCCATTCAATAGATCGAAAACTTTCCCGCTGTAGATTTCGAAAAAGCTGGCGCAGACGATGAAGTGCTCGCCGGCATACTGAGCCGAGTTGTTCATCGCGAATATATCCTTAGCAGCGAAATAATATACCCCTTTGTCGACTTGCTGGGTACTCTTGTTGTCGCTCACGAAGCAGCCCCCCATTGTGTGGGTTTTTCCTGAGCCGGTCTGACCGTACGCGAAGCAGGTTGCCATACCTCCCTCGAAGATCGACTTGACCAGAGGCTTTGCAGTGTAGCGGTAGACTTGTTCGTTGTCGGCTTGCTCGTCGAATGCATAGTCGAAGCGGAACGGTGAGTTTTCGAGGTACGGAGTTAAATCCACTTTGAACTTGGGTTCATGGAGAACCAGATGGTCCCTCGAAGGCACTGTGATAATGTCGACGTCTTGCTTGTTGAGCTCCTTCCGATTCATCGGTCGTTTCCGAACGGCCACTATGATTCGCTGATTCGTCGGCGGTCCTGTCGATGGTGGGACTCTCTTGATCTGGCTGCGATAATCTCTGGAAATTCAGAAAAAAATCAACTTGAAATACGATTTCCGGAAACGGCGGGCACACTCGATTGATATGGAAGCCCTCCGAAGAACTCGCGTCCCGATTGAACCTCGAGGACCCCGGGGTCCTTGGTGACCAACGCTGGATGGCACGCGAACTCACTCGATCATATGTAGGAAATTCTTGTCGGCCGAGTTTTTCGGCGGAGGATTCTGAGTTCCGAAGACCGTTGGTCGAGCCATTTTCGCAGGTTGCGCAGGAGCTGTCTCCCGAGCCATCGCCGGGACTTCGGATCTCCTCACGCCGAGAGGTTCGCGTTTTTCCCTGGTGGAGGTGGGTTTGCGGAACCCCGCGGACGATCCGTGAGCACCTCCAGTCGGCGCTTGAGCCCTCGGTGGATCACTGTTACTCATCATTGCTGTCGCTCGAGGGATTCGGCCGGCTGGCATTTGGGAACGACGCTCGACCGGCGCGGGCTTCTTCAGCGCGCTAACCACAGGCGGCGGAATCTCTGGTCGGGTCGTCGTCGGAGTGTTCTCCTTTTGTCGATTCAATTCCATCATTTCCCGGATGGACACCTGGAGGATACAAATTGGCTCATGCTTCCGTATCGAAGAGCTTCGTCAACCATTGCTCTGACGCTGACCGAGAGAAATTCCCTTCCAGCCAGCCTGGTCCGACAGCACGATCTGATCCCCCGATCTCGGCACGTCCATCTTTCAGGAGGTTCGCTTCTCTTCCAACACATCCGCAAAGCTCGCAGAGGATCCCCCCGTTTCGAGTGTTACAGCCCATCATCAACTTCGGATATGTCTCCAACTTGGAACACGGTTCCGGAGGGAAGCCGGTATGCTATCAGTCATCCGTTACCATGCTGTAGTGAGCGTACACTGACCTCTTTCCCTTTGGTCTCCCCGTTTTCACTCCATTCTACCTGCACCAATGCACCATTTATTCCAATGATAGTGGCAGCGTGGACGATGCCTGGAAGAAAGAACGGCTATCCATCGGAACTACTGTCCAATCTGGGCCCCACTGACTGAGCAACCTCCCGAGTCATCGACTATCATCGGTTCCGAGCTGTGGTCGTTCCCCTCATTCGAAATAAACTCAGACCCCCCCTGACGGCAGGCCAATGAAAAGTCGAGAAGGTCACAGCCCGCCCAACCAAATGCAACGCTTCATTTGCTTCCGTAATTCGGTAATCGCTCATTCGTATTTCCAACGGTATTCCGCTTCCAGGAGCTTATCCTAAGCCGGACAAGTCGTCCCTCGACATCTCGGGTGCTATCAAATAACTGACCGTTTGACCTCTTGATGAGGATTTCGCTGCCGGGCTTGAAGTCCATGGTTTATCAAAGCAAAGGATCCGAATAGTAACAATGATAAGTAAGGATCCGTTGAGGCGCTCACTTAAATGTCGCGCTGCAGTGAAGGTTCGCCTTGTTTCGCCGTCAGCAGACGACACAGTGGTTTGGCGCGAGATTTCGAAACGACACGAGCTATCTTCCTGACGTGGCCCTGAAGCTTCCTCTGGGTAAGTTCGCCTCACGGTCGATCTTCGGAGCCCTCTGTCGACTCCGAGACCCCGGCAAGCTGATCCGCGAACCGACTGGGGAGCTCTGATCTAGATTCCGACGGGGAGTGACTCCCACCGGGGACGCTTCCGTTATAAATGATCTCGCCTGGATGCTCTCGTGACATTTCGGGCCTGGGATCCCTGAGTCCAGGAACTCGGGGGAGCCCAGCGTTCCCGGGAACGGAACCTCAATACCCTTACAGTGAAGACTCAGATTCGAGAGTTCAAACTTCGACGCAAATTATGCGATCCGTCCCTAGGTGGCGCTTTGCGCGACCCGTGTTTTCCTTTAGAGAGAGAGTATGACAAAGGTAAACAATAAACAAACACGTGCTCATTCCTCATTCCTGTCTCTCCGTTCATGAAATCTCGAAGACTGAAAGGGTGCGCGCAGACTCCTGTTTGATCCTCGCTTTTTGCTCATCAATATCTCCGGAGCGGACGAGGATACAAGGACAACCCATGGAGACGGACAACGGTAATGACCGCGGTCCCGAATACTTCTCCGGAGAGCTCGAATTTTGCTCCGTCTGCGGGAGCATTCTACCATTAGCTGATGCGACGAAATTCGTTGTGTGCCGACTGTGTTCAACGTCTATCCCTATCGAGAACTTCCACGGCATGGAGACGAAGTCTGTTGTGGTAAGAGCCCGAGGCCCGGTTCTTGACGAAAATTTCGATACCTCTACAAATGATCTATTGGTTCTGAGTTCTGACTCCTGATAATCCTCAGGTGTACAATGATCGCGAGACGGCGCTCAAAGGTGCTGTACAAAAAGATGACGGGGTGGTTGGTCCAACGGTGGACAGAGTCTGTGTGAAATGTGGTCGTGAAGGCATGACATACGCCACACTTCAAACCCGGAGTGCTGACGAGGGCCAGACAATTTTCTACTCCTGTCCAGATTGTGGTCATCAAGAAAACGAGAATTCGTGATCGAATTCAGAGATTGACTGAATATCGAGTTTGTTGTGATATTGCATGATTGAAGTTTGTGAACATGCAGAGAACCTGTTCAGCTAGCAGCTAGCTGCTTCTCTCGAATAAAGGCCAGATTCATGGCAGATATTCCAAATGTGAAGCTCAATTTCCCTCAGCAAATGTCTGCATATTCTGTTGGATTTGCTCTGAATACGTCGTAGGGTAAATCCGACACCGACGACCATCTACATTCTCCGGGGCTATTCGCGCAATTCCCACATATGCATGTTATCGCTCAATTTCTCGACGATCCCAATTCAATGCTTCTTTCGATATTTGATCTCGATGACGCTTGTACGTGGGTGGATGGACGGCAGAGCCTGCCTCCGAGTCAAGCCGAGGATTGAACGTTCTTGATGATGACTCTGATGGCAATCGTAACGGAGCCCTCACAGGGGATCCGATGATGACAAGTAGGGCTCCAACGAGTTCAATGCGGCTAGCCCTTCCCCCACAGACTGTGAAGCCCCTACCACTCGAGTATTCGGTCGATCTTACCGACCCTGACCTAGGACTCCAGTGATGGAAAGGAATTATGCTTCCGAAATCCTCGAAAGCGAAATGGCCGATGTGTGGGAGGAGGCATCTCGTCGGTCATCAGATGACTCGGAAACAGCGGGTCGAGCCTCCCCCTTCCTCACCTCTCCAAGGTCGCTGACGGAAATTCTCGATAGGGAATCGAGGAGGCATTCACCCCTCGGTAAGTCTCCGACGACCTCCCGGAGAGAAGTAGATGAGCTCAAGCAGATCAATCACTCTTCGGCAGCCGAGACCTCTCGAGAACCTAGGGACGAATCAAAAGGTTCCTAACGGCACGTCTCTCGAGCACGCTGTATAATCACGTTTCGATCATGGCCTCCGTAATTGAGCATTCCAAAGGGCTCCGCTTCCGATGTTTCTGAGATCAGGACAAGGATCCATCTAGTGTACGCTCTCCCGATCAATGATTCCCCTTGAGACTGTCTGCATTAGATGCACTGAATGATTTCCTGGGAATCCGCGGAGCGGTTTGATCACTCAAATAGTTCCTCCGGGCAGCTCCTCAAACATGTGAGCCTAGTGATTCCCGGAATGAGTGGTCGGATTATTATGGAGACATGGACTTCGCCTCAAGTTCCTTTGTACTTTATTTGTGATTCAATTCAACGAGTTCTGTGGAAAAATTAGAAATCCTGACTACGGAGCTCACTTCGTCCAGCAAAGAGCTCCTGCGAGCGGTTCGGGATCCTTTTGACTGAAAGAGCTGATCATCCATTGAAGTCGAATCGTAAACGGCCGTGATCCCCCTGGGGATTTTATTTGACGGCGTAGCCTACGATGAGTGGTCGGATGAGGAAAGGGATCTCAGCGGGTAAATATCTTTTTTGGTTCACCGCACGGAAGCCGACGTACTCGATCACCTCGGAAACCTGTCGGAGGACCGCATTAGAAGTCTGACCTTTTGCTATCCATATCACTCGAGGTTGGATAGCGAACTCACCCTCCGGGAGACGTTGCATCCATCGTTGCAGACTCTCCATAAGGGGTTGACAGCCTTCTGTATGGAGTAGCCCCAGCTCTTATCGGGATACTGTTCGTGCTCGACGAAGTAATATTTTCCTCCCTGGAAATGAAATCAACATTCTACGAATTTTGGGTTATGCGGTTGCGCGGTAGGGAGCTCCCTGGCGACTTCTTGCTCTGATTGGGGATCCCTCAGCGGCCGCCACGGAATGTCGTCGTTTCAGCTCTTCGTGTCTCGCTCGCGCAATCGAAGTTTATTTTCGCAACCCCTCGGCTGCTTTCGTCGAAGATATTATCCGAAGGAATCGAGCGAGACAATGGCTCATTGACTTATCGGTATTCGTTTCTCAGTCCGACAAAGATGTTGGAAGCAGACGATGACGCTTCCGGATCTTCAACAGAACGAACGTAAAGTTGTGCGTGAGGTCGTGCGTATTCGCCTGATTGAGCACCAGGGTTCCAGCTGGGGTTGCGCAAGTTCGCGAAGAATTTTCAGTGATCATTCCACCGGGAAAAATTCCATGTTTCCCATCCAGTCCGTGATCCGAAGTACTCTCTCGCTTGACCTCACGATTCCACGGGACCGTTCCGCACGCCGCACCCTTCCCAAATCGACTTACTTTTGCAAGAACCCGCTTGATCTCTCTCATGGTCAGAGCGATATCCTCCACCGAACAGCAGACTAAGGTGCCGATGATCACATCCACCGATTCGTCTTCTAGTTCACTCATGTTCTCGGGAGAGCCTTTCAGAAACTTCTCCACCTGCACATGAGGGAATTCGTGTCGGTGCTCTTGATAGTATTTCTCGAATACTCCGTCATTTTCGTACGAAATCAGTTTTGAGCCTCGAGGGTAAAACTCCACGTTGGTACCAGTTCCTGGACTCAGCTCTAGGATGCGGATTTTCCCTGGAAAGAAACACACAGCTCATTATCGTCCCGCGTTTCGCGCTAATAGGTCAGTCGCTGTGGAGTATTGCGAAAGTCGCGATCGAACGAAGTCAGCGGATTGCGTTGGAGCCCCGCCGCAGGACTCACCTTCGGATCGAAGCTTCGGATCGCTCGAAACTACTTCTCTGATGTCTTCGAAAAGGACTTTCTTGAAACGAGCCAGCTTCTGAGCGTTTTGTTTCGTTTTGAGATTCTCTCCATGCAAAAGGCTCAAAATCTGGCGACCACCCAACCTGACCTAGACGTTCGTGTGATGGAAGTTCTAGTTTTAGTCCCTGTTTGATTTCCACGGCGGCGGGAACGCTCCCCAGATGGTCGACTCTACCAAACACGGTGGTAATGGAGATTACAAACCTGTTTCCTAAGGATAATCGCCGCCACAAAGCCAATTAGAGGCGCAGTCCATAGTAGAGCAGGGCGTTTTTGAAGGAACTTGACTTGACTGAGGGCAGTCTTCTGCAATACCGAACTCTGTTCCGACATCCTGGTCACAGGGATCTGCAATGTCAAGCATTCGCACTCTCGCTCCGTTCTCTGCACCTGAGCGCGGTTTTCCGAAATGTCGGATCGTATTGAAAACGTCGGGAGCAACTTACATGACATCAAACTGCCCACAGACTAGCGCTCGTTGCATTTTCGAAGCCCCAACCGTCGCAACTGAGCAATTTCTTTCCCCTCCCAGATCTGAAAATAGCTCCCCTTACCCGTTGATTCGTTGGCTAGCCGCGACAAAACATTCGGTTCGCGTTTTCGCGGCTCGCTCCGAGCTCTCCTTGCCGGCCACCGGCGCCGGAGCCGCGTTACGTAAGTCAGTCGTGCAGCCGGCAGACGGTCGGTCGGTCGATCTAGTGAAAGTATCCGCAGTGGGCCAATGACCCAGACGCTTTCTTCCAAGGCGAACGTCATCGACCATGATCATGCAGGTGGAGCAGAATAAGAGAGTGGGCTCTTCGCGATAGCGCCCCCGCTACACTTGGATCCAGCGCATCCATTGAATGAGAAGGTGATGCATCAGCATGATCAGCATCTCATACCGAGTTACTTCCCCGATCTTATTCCAGGCCCACGGGGAGGGAGCGCCCGTTTCGTTATAAGTCCTGGATGCGAGCGCATCCAGCGAGAAATGTGAGTTTTGCTGCTCGCGGACGCTTCCCGGCGAATACCGAATTTTCAAGCCGAGTTCCCGAGCCAGGAAAGAGGAAGGGAATATCGCCAAACTCTGGTTCAGGAAAATGTTGCTGCGAGAGGGATGTGATTCCGGCCAGATACGCGAAGTCGGAAATATTGTGAGGGTGAAGCTCAACAAGCCTCGAGCCGGTTTTTCGCTGAGCATTCCTGAAAATCCGGTCACTCCTGAACCGTCGTCTGAGTGTTGAAGTTTTGAGAGAATTTACTTTTGCTATCCGAAGCGGGCGAACGGAGCGTTTCACTAGAAGATGAAGCAATTCAAGCTCGTTCGCCTCGCAATAGAACAGTGCGGTACTTCTTCGTTATTCACCCTTGCTGATGAAGCGTCCGACGTGCTTGCGAGGTGCGAATATCGACAGACTTACGTCACAGATGTTCGCTGGGAGAAAACATCCAATTTGAACAAAACAAAGGAAATATATCGGCTCGAGCGCTCAGAAGAAGAAACCAGTATAGCTCTGTAAAACGGTGGGAAAGAGATGTTCTTCTCCTTTAGAAAGGTGTTCCTGAAGAAAAATATGAAAGGCAATCAGGTGAGGAAGGTCGTTCGCCGAGGAGCTCCGGACGCCTGAGGAACCTGTCGGTGATGGTTTCGATTGGTATTCCAGAGCCTCTGGCGGAGACTTTTAAGTATTCTAATCTTGGATGGACGTGGGAAGGGCAGAAAAAAGAATCGATCATCATCGAGAACGACGACTACGTTCGCTTTCGATTGTCACTGCAACCACCGGTGTGCTTCGATTGCCGGTATGCCGAATCGGCTTCATGCGAAACTCAATGTAATTCGAGATGTGGGCAAATCGATTATCGTCAATCGATACCGTGAAGAGATATAGTGACTTCATTTGACTCCTTGTCTCTAGCATACTCATGGATTCCCATATTGCGCTCTATCAACACTGCCGCACGCATCATCCGAAGAGTTTAGTCATCGCTCAGTGCTGTGAGGCTGAATTCTACACTTTACTTGCTTTCGCAGCGCATTGCGAATCTGCTCACACAGGACAGCACATCTGCATCAGGTTCTGATCTATGCCAGCGAAATATACAAAGCACCCTACCTCTTTCGGCCCGCCTCGGCGCAATCGTGACCGTCTGCCCTGACCTCTCTTTCTACGGCACATGACATACCTTTCCAATCGGCGTTCTTCAGGTGCCACAAATTCTTTGAGTCAAGAGCGGCTCTGGACAACCATGTGTTCGAACACAGGTCCGACGCAGGGAGCTATGCCATATTCTGCATTGTGTGTGGTATGTTCGAGACATCCGAGGCGGGAATCGAAAGTCATCTTCGGCGGGAACACGACATCGACGAAGGGAAAGAATCGCATTACATTTGCCGCGTCCCTCGGCTCGCTCTAGAGATGACGAAAATCCTATCGGAGAATAAGAATCAGGGTCTGTACCCTTTGGAGAATCAGATATTCACGGATAATATACGATCTACATAAAAGTACATCATTGTCACTGTTGGAGAGCCTTCCAGAAGGTGCCCTGCAAAAAGCTCCGTGCTCGTTCACACCGACCCTGAAAGACTGCATGACGTACACTCTCCAAGGTGCTCTGTCAATGGCGTGAGGATACGATCAGCTATCTCTTAGAGCAGACTCGTCCCAGCTCAGCATCTGCGAGGATCCGAGCAGCGAGCAATCACGGATGCTGAAGTGACTAATGAATCGTCCATGCCAGTCTGGAAATTACTGAGAGGATCCTTATCACCGATGAGACCGAAAGTTTTTCAACCGGAATATTTTCGTTCGAGCTCGCTTGAGCTCGGAATTTTAATTTCTCATCATCGACGATACTCCCATTCCCCATCGAACGTTGTACGGTATCATGGAGCGTCTTTCTGACAAACTTGGTAATAAATCGAAGATACGTTTCAAAATTTGTGAAAAAAATCCAGGTTCTTCCTATCATGTGGGACCTGATGACCTGCGAACCTGATCGCAGGAGTCTCACGGAAAAAACTCGTCGCTATGAGTTCACGGTGACCGACGTCTAGTCACGGCACGAAATGGCCGTTTTTGGGATCTCGCCACTTAACCCTTTCAGTCTTGACACGTCTTACGTCAGACGGTGGAAAACCTTTCGAAGTGGGTAAATCGCATTCCTCTCCAGTCGCCCGGAGCTACCGAGCCAGAAAACGGTTCACGGCGACCATGGGCGAGGTCGTCGAGGAATCTGTCGAAGAATCGCCATAGAGAACGCGACTTCCTCAGAGTACAATACATTCATCGATTCTGAACAACGAAATGAGGCCGGGAGGCTGGCCGAGGCTGTGAGCGCTGCCGTCCCTTGCGCCGGAGCCCATGTTCGTAAGCTGCCGAGAATCGAAGCTTTCAGCATGATCTCGAGAGCGCATCGCGTATCTCACAAACATAACAACGGAACTCCGCCTGACGCACAAGTTTTTCCGGAAGGGAAGGGCGCCTCGCCGAGGCAGCGAAGTCCCCCATATCAGAAAATATAAATGATGAAGAAGAGAAGCTCATCGCGAAGGAATTCCCGTCCGGCCATGCTAGCCTCTTCAAAGCGACTCGGTCACTGTTGCTGACCTTCATTCGAGATCTGATCAACGAGAAGCGCATGCTTCACATCAGTCCCCTGGAATACTACACCCTGAAATCTGTGAGTATGGAGCACCACGGGACAACTTTCCTCCATGAAGGAATCAGATCTGCAATATGAGAAATTTTCGCTCGGGAGCCGATTAGCCTGCCTTCCCGGGCCCAACAAACGACGAATCGAATGCAGGTGATGCTCCACGCAAACTTCATCCTATGCGAGCTCGAGCTCTTGCGTCTGACCTTGAGCTCGATACGAGACATCATCGAGAACCTGTACATGCTGTTCATAAGCGTGACCGATCTCCATCCTAACACTGCGGCATCTCTCGCAAGATCGATACGCCGCCTTATCATTTGCGTCCTGCATTACACGCTGCCGTTTAGATCGACGCGAGCAGCGAAGTATTTCAACCTCCACGTTGCTTCACGGTCGCTCCTGTCGCGAGCCAGAGAGGCGAGTCGGATCCCCGTTTAGCATGTCGGTCCTTTGTCAGATAGTCTGATCAGCATCCTCCGACCATGGTATATGTATTGATCCTTTGAGCTCAAATTTCGAGCCTATTCCTTCCTGTCTCCAGATTTACGATGTCAAGATACCGCAAGACAGAGATATACTCCCGAAGATGTCTGACATCACGGATCGCAAGCTCCTAGGCTCGGGAGGATTCGGCGACGTCTACCGAGCGAAACTCGCGCCCTTCGACATGCTGATTTGCGTAAAGATCATACCGGGTGACAAATTCAGGAGATCCGAGTCCGCATGCAACGACAAGGTGTGCGCCGCTCGTTCTGAATTTTCAGTGAACCCTCGTGCTCGCTCGATCTGACGCTAGCTTTCACCTCTTTATTCCTAGTTGGTAGCTTCGGTGATAAATTCACCGTTTCTATGCTTCTACATCGCATCATTCAAAACCCCGAACGCCTACGTCACGCTTTTGGAATACATAGCAGGAGTCGATCTCCGCCGCGTACTCCAGCGTTCTCAGTTCATCACCGGACAGCCTCTGGAATTCATCGTGGCTCAAATGTTTCTAGCCGTTGAACATATGCATATGAGAGGTTTCATCCATCGCGACATCAAGACCGAAAACACTCTCTGTATGAGCAGCGGTCGAATCAAGGTGATCGACTACGACACGGCGAAGACTTGCTTGAGCCACTTCGTCACGAATCGCCGCTTGGGGTATTTCTTCGCCAGGACTGCCGATGAATTGAAGAGTACCGACAGAGCCGGGACACTTCCGTACATGGCCCCCGAAATCTTGGGAAAGAGGAGCTACGGACGGGCGGTTGATCTATGGGCGATCGGGATTTGCGTCTTCAAATTGTTGACCGGAGTTCTGCCGTTCCGGCAGACGAAGAAGCAATCGGTGGAGCAAACAGTCCTCCAACGGGATCTGAGATGGCCGAACCTGAATATCGATTCGCGAGCCAAGAAGTTCGCCACGGCCTTACTCGAGAAAGATCCCGAAAAGCGATTGGGGTGTCAGACGGACTATAGGTGAGTGCCTGCAGACGGGTTCTAGGGGACACGGAGAAAGTTCGCCAGCAGGGTAAATCCTTAAGTGAAAGTGGTTTGCAGAGCAGTGAAGGAGCATCAATTCTTTGAGAAAGTCGATTTCAATGCGCTGCATTCGATGCAATCTGTCTGCACGATTCCTGGTCTGGAAGACGTTTTGGAGTCCGAGTCGCCAGTCGCCTCCTGCGGGGCAGTGAAGCGAATCAAATGTCCGATCGATGAAGTTCAGAACCCTGACGATTCGAATTTCCTGCCGTTAATGACTCTCTGCTCACCGCATTTTCGCAAGATGCAAATGGAGCTCATGTCGAGATCGAAACTGTGCAGTGAACAGTCCTTCGGTTTCCTTGACGATCAGGCCATTCTGCAAAAAGATATCTGTGACCTACTCTCGGGGTCAGTCCGAAGTCGGAAAATTCTTTCAATCCTCCGCTGCCTTCATCTCGACGGGATAAAGCTGTCCGCTACATTGATGAACAGTTAGCATCAATAATCGAAGTATTGTCGATTGCAGGAAAGTGAAGCTGCAGAAATTCGTGCTGAATTTTCCATCAAAGATTTACGCTCGAGAGCTGAAATTCCGCTGGGTGCGAGGAGTGTCGGGTTATTTTCCCCAGATCATCTCTCTCAGCAGTCGGATCGCGCAGATGGGGCTCATTGAATGGGATATCATCGTCGCGATCAATGACCAAGAGGTGGATACGCGTCTCATAACAGAACTTCAACCGATGAAGGCTGCTAGAGAATCCCATTTCATCATTGACCGATTCGAAAAATCAGACAACGAGCTCCACCTATTTCCCAGGTACCCGACTTGAATACGAAAACGATCTGGAAGACACTCGTATCATTCCCCAATACTTGCACATTCAGCGTGTTCCAGTCGAGTATCTGGCGGTATGTCGCGGGACCGATGAAGACGGTTCCGTTATTCATTGAATCAGTCGTCGAAGATCTGCAGATAAAAATGAGCAGGTGCTGTTTATGGTGGCGGATGCCTTTGCGGTTCGAAGTGCTCTCGACAGTGAACTGCTCTTATTGGGTCGTCAAGGAGTAAGTAGGTCATGGTGCTCAACCCCTCGGATGAGCTGGGGAGTCAGAAGAGTCCGTGTGTACCTTCGGTTCTCCGTCAGAATCCGGTTTTCTTCGATAATCGCTCAGGACCGGTTCTCTGTAGGGTCAAGTCATCCGACGGGTTCCTCGAAGACGCCACCTCTATGCCGGATGCAGGGGTTTACGTTGGTGACGTTCTCTGGGATGTCAATGGCAAGAAACTGCGCGAAATTCGTGAATCAGGGACCCCAACAGAGAAAGAAGTCCTCGCATTAGCACGAAACTCCAGAACGAATCGACGCGTGACTTTAGGTATACTTCCTGTATCTCCACTTCGAATCCAGGTGTCTCGGGGGAAATCAAATCTCCCTTGAAGGGGCGCCGATAACGACGCCTGCCTCCTGACAGAAGCCAAGAATAAAAAGCTTCGGAACTTGTTGTTGTTTTGATCAAGTGCTCAGTTCCTCGTTTCGCGGAAGATCGAAGAGGATATCGAGCGGGATGATTCATTTTGGCCTGAGAAATTCGACGATCTCTCGGAAGTTTCGCGGTCTCCGAGCCAGCAAGCCACTTCCGGGCTGGCTCGCTAATAATAGATAGTTTTCGGGATCCTTGAGAACTCTGATTATGAGTTTCTCCGTCAGAGTTGATCCATGTTTCTTGAGAATGACCAGTTCTGCTTCCCATGAAGTTTACGCTCGACACTCTCAATAGGACTCCAGGATCGATTGGGACCATGCCTTAAGGATGAGGTCCACTCAATCAAGCTCGTACCATCAGCAGGCTTGTTGATCCAGGGTAGATCAAGACTGACGTAGGTCGCCCCCCTCCGGACCGGTGTTCCAGAGACGCTGAGAGCCGAGACGGAACAGACATACGGCACCTCCCGGCTCTAGGAGCGCCCCTCGGGGGCTCTCTGAGAAATCAGTGAAAAAAAAGTTTTTCTCGAAGGCGAGCTACGTGAGGGTCCGTACAGGCGAGCTGAGCAACAGTTTGTGCAATTGTGACTCGGGGAAGACTCTAGTCGCATGCACGAATGCGATATCCTGTGGGACCAAGGGTATTCGCCTACGTTGCTCCAACTCCTCCGAAATGCGCTTAGCCCTTCCCCACTCTTGTGATTGATAAGTAGGCAGGACGCACTGATCCTCGACTACGATAGGGCGTCGGATAGATCAGTTGGCACAATCTGCTGGAAAACAGCAGCTGCCGCTGACCGAGTGCTCGTCGTAGCGACAGCGCGCTGCGCATCTGGAATATGTTTGCCAATCGGAGAAATACCATCATCTCGATTTCTGTGTGAAGAGGCGCTCAATATCGTTCTCCATCCCCGGATCGCCTTTGATCTTGACTTGGGACGCTCATTCGGCGAGACGCTAGACCTCCTCTGAGTGATCTGCGGGTAGGGTAGGTCTCCTCGAGATTTGGAGTGGTCCTCAGTAGATCACGCATTGTCCATTTGGAAGTGCCTCGGCTTGTTCCTTCACTCCCCACATCCGAAAAGACGAAGTCAGCTCGGAGGACAGAGATCATGAGAATCATTTTGCATCGGCTGTAACATGCTCCGTGAGTCATGACTATGGATTTTCTGAATCCCGACGAGCTCGCATGACAGCACCCGGATTCCTGAGCGCCATCCTTTGATCCCGATAAGCATCTTCTCAGACGACTTCGCTCGCATTCTCTGCAGCCACGCAGCATAAATCTTCTGCTTCGGCAATCTTTGGGGACCGAGCTACTCTGTATTTCTTTCGGCACATCCGCGTTGCATCGCGACGTGCCATCCAGGGAAAGTCTTCAGAAATTTCATGAATAACATGATGATCCTTTGGAGCAAGATCCTTTCGGCCAAGAGTCATGTTTTCGCAGCATTTCTGGCATGATTGAGGGCTGAATCCGGCATGAGTGTCTGATTACAGAAACGGGAAATGTGAGCCACTGAATTTCCTATCGGGAAGCACCGGGGAACCCTAACTTCTGAGCCCTCGTTCTCATTCCGCTCGGCGCGGCGTCGGCTCGGCGTCAGACCTGCCACTGCTGTCGCTAGGCACCAACGTCGTGCCAACAAGTGCGTGGACGGATTCTGTTGATTCGATAACACTCAGTGTTGCGCAATGAGAGTGGTGAGACCCGGTTATCGGGGACGCGAATTACATCGAATTCCGTTGCTTTAAATCACCGGGATGAATCCTCTGAGAATCGCGCATCTCCTAGATTTCCTTCTCTTTCGCGAACGACCGATCTCGGGAAATAACGTTCAACTCTCCATCAGGCGAATTTGGTGGTAGGAGGACTGTTCTTCCTGCTGATTCTCAGCGGACTTTTCTTCTTCCTGAGTCTGGACTCGCGATCTGGTAAGCGAATCACTTTGAGAATTGTTGTGTGGAGCGCATGTAAGGTTAGGCCCTTCCGTCAAGTTCTGTATATCAGGCTCGGGTCCGTCGCGGTTACTTCAAAACAAGCAACGATTTTCGTCTCCGAAGGTTAGCTTGGACAGATCGATCAGAATACAGAGAATCGGCAGATACCCTCGCCGGAAGGTCTCTTTCTTGGTAGCGAGCGAGTCAATCCGTGAGCTGCGCACAGTCAACGATTCGGTTCGGCAATCTTGTGGAACCATGAAGGCTTTCGTATCGCTTGCTTGTATGCTCTCCTGTGCGTCGTCGATTGCGGGTAAGCGGAGTGCACGATCTCTGTCAGGAGTTTCGACTTGTTCGCTAACGGGAATCTCCATGATTCCTGATTGATCTTGACAACGATGCTCCGGCCGGGAGACGTAACTCAGGGCTTCGGTGTTGTTCTCGTCGCCCATGCGAGCTGAGCTGGGCGCGTATGTTCACAAGTTCGTCGAAATCCGCGTAGGTCTCTCGAGAACTTCCGCGCCTCTCATTTGCATCGAACCTCCAGACCAAGGTCGATTCCGGTGGGAAGGCGTAAGTCGCTGTGCCGCCCAGACAACGCTCTGACCTCGCAGGGAGCGGAATCGGACGACTGTTTTGTTCTAGGCCATGTAGAAATAGTTCCGCAAATGAAGCGATACTTTGGATTTCAAACTATACTGTCCGGAAAAGCATCTTCGTGACAAGGCATTCTCTTTTGCCGCCGACCCGCATTGCCTGCCGGGTCGAGTGTACCTACTGTCTGGAAAACATAACTACATCTACTGCGTCGTAAAATCTGAATAACAACTGCATGGGTGCGGAGGAAAACGATCTATTCAGTGATGGAAACACTTCGTCCACAGAATAGAAGATTCCCAAGTCTCCGATGAACGTTTGCTGGGTACCTTGAAGAAATTCTGTGAAAATATTATTCTCATTTAACGGTTTACCTTTCTGTCGTCAACAGCTTCGCCAGTCGGATCAGAGGCGAGTTGTTATCTTGCCGGTACCGTCACCGGTAAGCTCTCGCTCCGACAGATCGACGACAGCCTCACCGTAGAGGGCACGCTGCAAAACGTACCTGTGGGCGTTCACGCTATTCACGTGCACGAACATGGTGAGAACTTCTCCGCAACCATTCTAGAATTTTTTCGTTAGGAATCCGAGACGATCTCGTCCGGACCTCGCTCTGGCACCTAATTGATTTCATTCCTGGATATCATCGATAGGGAAACTCGGGAACAATTGTCTCGAGTCTGGAGGACACTACAACCCATTAGGAGTTGACCATGGGGCCAAAGACGACAAAACCCGCCACGTAGGAGATTGGGGAAACTTCAACGCAACTCAGGAAACGCTCCGACTGTCGATTACTGACAACGTAGCTAAGCTGAATGGTAGGTTCAGTTGAACGCATCCGGATGTGCTCATGAGGGAGTTGCCGTCGGTCGTGGTCGAAGACTTCGCCAGTAGAATTTTACATGCCGACTTCCGTCCATGAACGGAGCTGTGATCATGCAGATTTTTTATTCCTCTCTCACGTCCGATATCGAGCTGACGTACCGCTCATAGGCGTGGACCGCACTTCCGGATGGTTAATGAACAATGAGCTTTGTTTCCAGGAGAACATAGTATCATGGGTCGCGCCATCGTCATCCACGAGAAAGCGGACGATCTCGGCAGAGGCGGAAACCCTGCTTCGAAGGCGAATGGAAACGCTGGGGCTCGTATCGCGTGCTGCGTCATTGAGCAGGCGATGTGAGTCCGACAGAAAGCCGGAGGAATGAGGGTACCTGAGGCGGCTGGCACTGATTCGCTAAGCTAGTGTGTACTCCAGGGAGGAGGCAGGAAAAAATGCTTGACATTTGTGCTGCAAAAAATAAATTTTGATCGAGATCCCGCGCTAGCTCATCTGAACTGTGCGACTTATCTCGATTGCATCATCTTAAGGCATTCGATGATACCGTTGTTGAACGTTCCCGATTCGGCATTATCTAAGCGGAGCGCGAATCACGATCCACGCGTATGCGACCACTTCAGTTTTTTTTATTTCGGTGAGAAAAATCCACCTGTACATGAGGGGAATCGAGGAAGGAGCGGCTCTCGAACTCCTGAAGATCGTTCAGAGTGAAGATTCGTACTGAGGATCATGCTGCTCTCGTATGAGACTTCAGTTTTGATTTAAAGACTCCTCAACTTGATAGAAGTGAACCAGAAGCTTGTGTTCGCGAGTTTATTCAAACTTCAGTATCCAGTTTCTAGGACTCCTCTGACCTCCGTCTCAACATAATCGCCGGCCGAGCCTAAGAGGCTCGATCCCGAGCCGGGTTATTCAATTAACACAGGTAGCGCTAAAACTAACATGTCACAATCACTCCACTCCATTGAGGCACCGTCCGATGGACACGGTCAATGAGGATAACAGATTATATTAAGGTTATGTATGCTCGATACGCTACCATTTTTCTCCAACTCGTCCTACCACTTTTTCACGAGCGGGTAACGTCTAGCTCGCAAGTTAAGCATTTCTTTCATGAAAAAAAAACGATGATGTCTGTGGCGGAGAAAAAGGTTGCGTATGTCTCCGTGGAGACATGCAGAATGAATGCGCGCTCCGAGAACCGCGATGAATCCTTCTGATCCCATTGCACCCGAAGTTTTTTGGCCTCATCTAGGGAGGTATTAATCTTACGATTAAGCTTCCTAGTGGATCACGTTCGTTTCAAGTGCCTCTCAGCTCTCAGCGACGTCATCGAATGCTATTCTCTGCGCGGATCCATTCGAGAGCCACATCACATCACGATACCGCTGAAGTCTATACAAAACAAAGGGAGAAAACACCGTATTCCTAAACTATGATATGTTACACGGGTGGCACTCCGTCGCCGCCGCGACTGCCAGAGTCTACCGGGATTGTTGCTGGCGTATGGTGAACGATATCTTGCCCTCGGTGAGCTTTTTGAGGAAGTTCCAAGCTTCTGTTCGTGTCATGCTCGTGGTAACCGTGTTGTTAATAGCTAAAAGTTCATCGCCTGGTTGAAGTCGACCATCGCGTTCCGCAGCGCCACCTGGGGACAGAAAATTTTCAGTTCGAGGGTTCGACGAAACGACTGGAAGGAGCATCAGAGTCGTCCGGATCTGGGAAAAAAATGAAGCCGAAACATACAGCTGAAGATGCGATTGATCGTCAGGGGTTTGTTCCCAAGCGGAGAGTCCTTCCCACCCTGGAGGGTGAAGCCGAGTCCCACCTTGTCTTTCTCGAGAACGATCACGGTCGCTAGGGAGAAGGGAGAGAGATCAAGTAAGAGGGAAGAATTCTGCCAGCCATCAAACGGGATCGATATCGATTATTCGTATCACTATTATTCGGGAAAAATTGAGAAGCGAAGTCGGAACTCACATCCTTCGAAAGTTGGCAAAGGCCCATCATAGGCGGGCTCGTCGATCACATCGAGTACGCTCGAGATGCTGCTGGCCCGACTGAGACTAGAACGAGTCCCGGATGAGCCCCTTCCGGAAGTATCTCTCGAGAGCACAAGCACCAGCTCTGACCTCGGGCTCTTAAGAATATCCAGAGCTTCGCGATGAGTTGTGGCCTTCAGTGTCTTTCCGTTGATGGAGAGTACACGATCACCACGTCGAATTCGACCATCGCGGTCAGCGGCGCTCCCGGTGATCACCTTGTGGACCTGAAATCGACGGGTGGATCCCTGAATGATATTCCGTTTCAGGACGGGAAAGAATCAGGTCGGAATATGCTCTATGTCGGTCTGGCAATATGAGTTTCGTACAGTGATCTCTTTGTTCTCGTAGTCGCAGCCCCCAGCCAAGGTGATTCCAGCACCGGACGTGGGACTGTCTTTGTGGAGGACGACGACGTAGATATCGATGTTCTCTCCGCGGACTCCTTCCTCTTCTTGGAGCGATTGATTCGCCTCATCGATCAATTGTTGAAGATCTTGCGGAGAAATTAGTGACGACGTGGTTGACGCCAGGGAGGTCAGCGATGAGTACTGTTCACGTGTCGTTGAAGTCGAACTGCGGACAATACCCACCATGTTTTTGAGATTTTTTGAATCGGGGAAACCGTAACTGCCAGTTTTCTGACGAAGGATTCTTACAGGGGAGAAAACGTTCTGGGTATTCCAGCGCACCTGTTGCCTGAGTCGTCGGAATCGACACTGGGGAAACGTTTATGATCCACCGTCCTGATGGGCCTCTGGACTTCCTCGAAAGTCTTCTTGACATCAGAAGTTCCTCGAGGAGCGGGCCTCACCGGTGGCGGATAATTCGGCGGGAGGGCCGGAACGGTATTCGGCAGGCTCGATCGAGCGGCCGGTTTCGGTTGAACGATGCGCGGATCGCTCGATTTTCTAGCCGGTATTGGAGGCGCAGTGTCTCTCGACGACCTCTGCTCCCATTTCGCGGCCAAAGCTCGGAAATTCTGAGGACCCGGTACTACTTCCGTATCATTTGTTCCATTCGATCTGAAAGAGGGAGGAGTTCCAGAAGAGTGAACCTCGTCTTGCTTCTTTTCCCAATCTCAATCTATGACAATGAAGGGGCGGAGAGAAAATTTCAATTTTGGAATTCCGATATCTCTTGGTTGCATCGTGAACCGGGCGGCTACGAATCGATTGCTCCGACACGATCGAATACATCGCGACGCCGACGCTTACGGAGGAATGATGTTCAGGGAAGCTTCGGACTTGGCCGATTTGAGGACGGAGGCGAACGGGGTTCTGGGGTTCTCCAACTGCCTCGAGGCGGGTCTCGGAGGTACGGGAGGGGGTCCCTGCGGAAGCGTCTGGAATTCCATCGACTGCCACTTCGAACGAGTTTCCCCGATCGAGGTTCGGGCGAAGAGTTCCGCATCCTGTGAAAACGAGACTCTTAATCCTCGATCTCATTCGTGACTTCGGTACCGAGTCGAAATGGATACACGATGTTTTTCGAACTCTGCCGCGAGATCGTCGCGGAACTTCATTCAAAGTTCGGAGTCATCAAACTCTCAGCTTCGATGCGTGTCGCTCCGCTCCAGCTGTTAAAATAGGGACTACGTGAACACGCAGAGCTTGTCAGGCGGGGCTGTACCTACGACGAGCCTCAATGGCTGTAGCGTGAGGTTGGTAAGTTCCTCGCGCTTCCCGCCATGAGAGCAACCCACAAGCTCATGGTAATACGTACTCTGCTAGACATTTTTCTCAGATAGTCTAATCGTTTTCCAGATCTCCCTGTTTGGAAACAGACCGAGATATATCCGCTTATTGTTCGAAGCAGAGATAGAAGAGCAATTATCGCCCCTATAAGAAGCTTGCTCAGCGGGAAGCTCGACCGCATTGAGCGGAAGACCCTGCTCGGTCAAAGACTCTCTGTTCGGATCTGCTGTGTAGACTCGGTGTCGGCCTTCCTTACCCACCTTGATCGTGGCGATATTGGCACAGGATCCGCTGAGACTTTGTTTCGGTTTCTCGTCGCTCTCCTGATCCTGGTACGAGCTCAGATACCGCTCGATGAGATCACCTTTCGGAGGTGCATCTGGAGCATCCTCACCCGCGGGTCCAGGGAGCGGCGGAGCGGGTCGCGATGGAGTGTCCCCTGGAAAATCACGGGACGGTGCTGATCAGAAGAAGAAAATCGAAAGCGGAGACGGTTCTGGAGGCTTGGAATCCGGCGCATAAGAATTACGATAGAAAAGTTGCCAAGACGATCAATGGATCGTATCCAGGGTCAGCTGAAGGAAAGGAAGGAAAATCATCACGAATTTAGATCCTCGCCAGGAGAAAACTGTCATATCGAGTACGTTGGGAATTTCAGACACACACCGAAGTCTATCCGAATGAGATCCGATGTCAAATCGTGGAAGTTTGTGTACACATTCACTCGAAGGGTGTTCCGCTTCTCCTCCGGAAGTCCATTGATGATCTCTCTGATCAGCAAGGACTCATCCAGTGAGGGTTTGGCATCGAGCAGTAATTGTCGTTTACGTATAGCGTAGATGAGCGGGTCGTTGACCGTACAACGAAACTCGAGCGCTTTCTCAAACTCATCACTGAAAGCGGCCTCCAGGGCCGAGGAGATTCGGTCCACCGTAGGAGCCATGGGTTCTAACCGGTTATGGGCCAGGCGCTTTCCGTCGAAGCGTTTCCTCCTCTAAAGAGGGACAGCTTGGCGGGACCTTCTCTCCGTTGGCGCTACTGGAGAGACGAACATGGCTCACACAACACTCGAAGACACACGGAGAGACACACACACATTGAGACACAAAACCAAATTGGGAGATTCGACCGGAATGTGCAGAGAGTGGGTTGTTGCTTGCCGGCTGCTCAGCCTGTCAGCAATGGCGCTGACTCTTCGAACAGTTCAGCGTCGGTCGGAGGGAAATCGTCTTCCATCCATCCACCGTGGTGGACTGGGGGTCCAATCAGTGAGTCGAGCGCCGGTAATAGACCACGGTGGGAATTAAACGACTCTGAACACGTGTGGATGTGAACAGTCGAGCCGTTACGCAAGTCGTAGTGGCGATGGTCGAGCACCGACGTGGAATAGCTTGTTCAAAATAGCGCCATTATTGCCTCGGATAGGCTCGTTGCATGCTGTTATTTAACCAGGAATGGATAAGGAGAGAAAAACGCGGCGTTTCTGCAACCATGTTATCCGCGACGGCTTAGGTATTCATCACTCCGCTCCGTGAACATCTTTCGTCTGGCAGCAAGCTCCCCATAGCTGTTCCCGGAGCGCCGGGTAGAAGGAAGCGAGGCTTTCCACCGCTGGATGACGTCAGGAGATCATGATCGTTGCAGTTGACCGAACACCTCGATTGATTGCCCATGGACAAGCAGCGCTATCAGAGAGCTCCGATAATTGATTGTTCAGGCGCTCCCAAAACGATTTACTTACAATTACTAACGTCTCCGAATCCGAGACTTTTTCTGAAGGTCGCCGCGGCACCGAGTGGTACTGCTCGAGGGGTGTCCGTTGTTTGAGCCTTCTGGCTTCTGACCGGAGTGCTGTCGACTTTGACCACGACGGGGTTGGTAACGATTACGGGGAGAACTTTTGAAACCGTCGAAGTTGGGGTGTCGGACTTGCTGAGAACTAGGCCTTTCAGCTTCGATTTTGGCTCCGAGGAATTAGGCTCCAACATTGACATCAAGAGACCCGAGTAGCGTCTTTGAGATGCTTCGCGGAATTTCGAGTAGACCGATGACATCGAGCCGCGCCTGCAATCAATACGGTCCGAGTTGAGCTCACTCAGTGAGATCGAGGTAGTCGCCCATCGATTCCCCGTCGGGAGTGAATGACTGCTTTTGGCGCGATCAGACCAGAATACGTGGGAAATCGGCATAACATGCTCATATCCGGAAATGAGATGTGGAAAGTATTTGACATGCTTGAGCTGAAAACTTGATCCAAACGCACCTGTCGCCATTGATGGGTGAATTGTACTGATTGGAGATGAGCAAATTCTCCGATGAGAAGGCTGGCGACGGGGACTTCTGCGTTGGAGAGTGGCTCTCGTCTGACGAAGGTGTGGAACAGAAAACGCCGGAATCGTCGACCGATAGACTTTTGTGGCCCCTAAAAACTTCCTTCCAAACTTTCGGCTCGTCGAAGTTCGTCGGGAATTCTCTGCCGTCAGGGGGGAGACGGCCCGAAGAATAGTTCAACGTCATCATCTTCGCAGTCTCTTCTTCAAGTTCTCCCGACGCGCTCTGTGACGCTGGGAATTCACTCGACTTCGGTGCTACAGATGTCTCTTGTTCTCCCTTTCGGCTCTGCTGTGAGCAAGTTCGATCGATCTGGGCTGTTTCCTCTCCTTCCTGATCGGGCTCCGATGTGGGAAAGAGCTCAGCAGATTCATCCAACGTTGAAATCTCCTCCTGGATTCCCGAGTCTACATTGGAGGAGACCGCGAACTCCTCCGCTTGCAATTCATCGGGAAGGTCGGGCGCAGCTGATTCTGGAATTGAAGGAAGAGAAGCTCGTCAGCTGATGTATTCTCCTTGCCCTAGCGATTCCGCTTCCCCATAAGCCATGCCATGAGGTAGACTTCCGTCCTGGATTCTGAGTGAGCTTTGCACCCTGAGAGCTTAGCGTCTGGGCTTTTTTTTCAAGGGATTTTTGTCGGATACCGTTCTGATTCTTTGAATGGAATTTCCACCAGTACACGATTTGAAGGAGTGAAGAAACAAACGGGGAATGATTTCGAGTCCCGTGTCGATGCTCCGAAGCCACACGGAAACGATAGCTGCGGAGGAACGATGACGCATCTTGCCACACCGGTAGTAGGCTCCGACGAGCTCTAAATTCCGGCTTTCCTCCGTCTCTCACTCAGATCCGTGGGCGAGGGAAGTTTCTTCACGGAAATGAACGATCAGAGCGAATCGATTGACAAACTTGACTCAAGTCTATGTAAACGCCATCTCGGGATGATGCTCTGGATGAATATCCGAACACTGGGATGTCAGCGGTTGAGGTCGAGTTACTTTCACTCGGGCATATAGCCTAGAAGGAATGACTTCTCTGTTTGGGGAAATTCATTGGAACTCGGAATTCCTCAGACCGGGAGATATACGGAGTGTTCCCAGCTTACGTCGGACCCTGCATCTCGCAACACGGCTTCGGAAGACTCATTGAGCGAAATTAGTGTTCGTAGCGATGATTCTCCCCGATCGAAAGACTAATGACGACGCGCCAGAAGTCTTTGTAAGGAGATATATAGCACTAAGGCCTCGAGCTTTGTCCCACATCGAAGGACAGATAATAATAATTCTCAGCAAAGAGCACAGAAGTATTCGGTAATAAAATTTTGAAAATGTTCACCACTGAGTGAGATAGATTAGATTCTTCGTATCGCGTGTCCATCCGAGAACAGATATAACAGAGTCCCGCTCAGAACGAGCGGATTTTCGAGCGCCTTGCGTAGGCAGTCTCGGCGATCCAGACAATTATCACATTTCAGAAGAAGCTCAAAACCGCCCAAGGAGTTCTTCGGACTCCTAGCACCGCAAGCGAATGCGCTATAGAACGAATAGCGGGATGCGATGCAACAGCTTCTCTCCGCGAGGAGAGTTTCGGCAGTCGCTCTATTCGGGATAATAAAATGCACTTTTTGGAGGCCTACGCCCAATCTGACGAATAAGGCTCCCTCATACCGAGCAGCTGGCGGTCAGGCACACTGCATGCGAAGCATGTAAACAGCATCGAGCTGGTGCAAGATAATCATAATGGTAACTGTCGTCCAATGAGAAACCCGACACCAACGCTGGGTGCATCATAATTTGATACTGAATCCGTACAGCGGGTGTAGGATTATTATACGAGACAAAGAGCTCTTGGCCAGTTGGACCGAGGTCGTGGGTCAGCGCTGTGGGTCAAACGCAGCTCCGTGGCTTTTGCGAAAACGGAGGAAAAGGAAGCTACAGCACTCCGACAAGGCGTGACGTCAACAACGAGAAAAAACTGAAGCTTCGACGAGTTTCTTCCGCCACGTTTAATATTCGTTGTTGTCCATTGCGCCCATCGATCTGTGTGGAAGCGACAATCACAAAACAGTATATGGTACTCCGGACTTTTCACCTTCTTCGGACTTTTCACCATGATATTCCGTTTTCCTCGCGACTTACTGGGAGGGATGCAGAGTGCGGTTCGGAGAATGTGAAAGAAAAGATGGATTTCCTGCTGCGGGTGGTCTATGGGTGGACTAGGAGTGCTCGGCACTCGAAGTCTAAGTGTCGCTGTGGTTTTCTGTTGATATTTGGTTCCATGACGGATGACCCTCCGTCAAAGGGTTATCCTCCTTGAGGGTTTGGAAGCGAGCGAGAGTGACAGAAATTATAATGCTCGAGCAGCATCGACTTCACGGAATAAAAGGCTAGGCCGTGCATGAGAAAAAACTTTCTCGAAACCAGCCCCCCATTGTGCGTCATTCATCAATCCATCCTTCGGCTACATACTTATCCACCGGAGCATCTGTCCATCCTTCCGTCCCAATCACTATCCATTCAGTCCGTTCTTTCGTTGGCTCGCCGTCTTGACCGGCGCTCATTTGTAGGTCACAATTCAGAAATACCGCAACCATGAACAAAATGTTTAACACTTCACCCTGACCGAGAGAACGCAAGAAATCAAATGAATCGTTGATCTGGGACCAGCAACGAGAGGGTGCAATGATCGATCACAACATCTTTCCAGGTTGGGAACTTCTGAACGGGATCACGCCGAGGGTTCCAGGCATTCCTTCCACGGAAGAGATTCTCCATGAATAGACGCGTCCAGCACCCCGCCTTCAGGGTGGACGCAGCTTAGGCGTAGGATTGTAGGACGCGGTTTCGGTACGCACCGGACACGCTTCCGACTACCGGGAGACTGGATGCTTCCGATCACGCTTGGTCCCTGATCTTCGTGAGTTCAGCCCCCGCACCGAAGCGCGCGGCACGCGAGTTTTTCTCGTCTCATCCGCTTTCGCCAGCTCGAATCGTCAGAAATCTTCTCTCAGAGCGAGTTGTCATCACAATTCCCTTCGGATTCCGAGGTTCCACAGTACCAGATAACTCCAGAAAAGAGCTCGGTTAATGTGAATGGTAATGACACGTTGGGCTCGAGCACGATCTTCGCGTTCGTTTCGATGGTTGATCGATCGGGTGAGCCTGAATCGAGGTGACCTGCCCCGAAACGGTAGCCGTTATTTTAATGGTTTTTGAAGAGCCCAAAGCCATATTGAGCGATTGAAGCACGCCGTCGCTACATTATACGAGTCATGCGGACAAAAGTCTCGACGGTCGAGCGGTCATTTCTTATTCTTGGCGCGCCCATTCTATTAACAATTGTATTCATTTGGCGCCCCGGATCATCGTTCATTTGTCGTCTAGGAGCGGTTCTGAACCTCTTCATCAGTCGTATGACTTGACGATGCGGCCCGAAGATCCAAATCAGAAGCACACCGCTTTTACCTTCTGATGAGGCGGGTAATTCACGAAACCATGAAGTTGAAGTGCCGCAACAGTACTCGAAATTATTCCAGTTCCTCACAGGAATACTGGCGAATCGATATTCGCACAGACGGCAGGTTCCATGGAATGAATCCACTGCTTCTCACATCGACGGAAGCCAACGGAAGTCTCCTTCCCCACGACAATCGTGGTGCTGGAAAAACGCCTGCTGCTTCCAGCGCTTGTGCAACGGTATCCGACAGTTCCGAAGACGTTCGGAGAATAGAAGCGATCTTCGGGCATTCTCTACTCACTCGGGGCACTCAATGACGGATTCGCCTCCGAAATCCACCTTACAGCATACCTGCGAGCTGTGGACATGTCGTCAATGGTGATCTGGGATTCAATGCTCGCGGTAGCCGACGATACTGACTTCCATATAGGACGTTTCTATTTCTGTGAGCATTGTTCCGGCCACATCGTACTCTTCGGAAAACCTTCCTCGCATTGCGTGGTCGCGAAGAATCGTCCGCAATGGCTTGCGAGAGCCGGTTCGACCTTCTGAGTCGGAATCATAGCTGTCAATTGGATAGAGGTCAAACATTTCGAAAGTATTGTCGGATTGATCGCAGCGAGATGCATCACCGGAACACTCCCGCTAATATTCCTCGTTTCCGAAACTGACGCTAGACCCACGACATCCTCCTCGGGAATGTCAATCCTCGGATGAGAATGCCGAAGCATGCGCGAGCAGTTTGTTCGAACTGACCTTCCTCAAGGGACTAGCTAATGAGATGAGCCGGAGCGAGAGCAATAATTGAAGATTTCAAATTCACTCCGACCACTAGGTTTCGCAAAGCAGCTCGGCCTCCGCTCGCGCAAAAAAGCGGTTGGCAAGGCCCGCTCAACATCGGGAAATATGACTTACCAAAATACATAGGTACCTGCCTAATGGCAAAATACAGCCTACGAAGGATCGCTCGCATCGGAGTCGTCTTCCATCACGCCCCCTATTCACTCACTAATGGACCCCATCGCGGGCGCCGACGTGGTCGTGCCGGTCTCGAAAAATCAATTCTTCCGGGAAGATTCTAGTGCCTTAGTGAGCGATTGGGGATCCGCCTGTGTGGCCGAGGATAGATAAAGTCTCCCACGATGGATTGCCTCACAGCTAAAACTTATAGCGCGTCATCCACAGACAGAGTCGAAATACTTCTGAACAGAAGCGTGATACCGCAAACCCAAGACGAATGTACCTCCCGGGGAATCGAAGCGATCTGCACAAGACGCTCTCATTATCGATCGAGCCCAGTCGGAGAGCAACCCATTGACTGAGTCTCGGTATGAGTGAGGGACAGTTGCCGCGAGTTCCCACGGCTGAAGTTTCATCTAGTGAGGGAAGGCTCCATTCACGTAGGGCACTAAGCACACCCGTAAGTGAAATCCCCGTTCCCATTCTTCTGAAGTCAGAACGGGATATCCGAGTGGAAGGCGACTTCCCCGCGATCTTTCGCCTGCGTCATGCGATTTGCTGTGCAGTATTTCCGGTTTTTACTGCAAGATGTGAGGAGAATCTTGGAGGTACGGCGCGGGAATTGTGTCAGCTCTCGGCTCATCTGCATTCGCGTGCATATAAACACGAGCTGTTACACTGACTCGCGTAAAAGTTCACTTGCGCGTGTGTGAGTTCTTTTCAGATCGAGAGCGACCGTGAGCCGAGCTCTCACCTGGAAGTCTGGTCTTCATGAACCGGAACGCTCTTGTTCCGCGTCGAATGAGTACTCGTGCCTCATGCCCCATTAACACTTCGAGAGATCTCACATTCGGGGGCAAAATCAACTCTCAGAGGATCCAGCTACGAGTCCTCTTTCGCGACGATGGATTTTTCCCTCGCTGACTTCATCGAGACGAAGTCAATCCACCGACAGATACAATTCAATACTGCATCTTACCGATCCCCACAATGTTTGATCGAAAGCGTCGCGCTCGTCACCGTGGCATCGCTCTCAAATTGAAATTGCAATCTGGC